AGGGATGGCTTATTCCTCTCGCGCCTTACCTTTTTTTTTTTTTGCAAAAAAAACCAATGTAACTCCATTTTGCAGGGACGTGTACGTCTTTTTAAGGCGTTTAAATGAAAAAATTAGGGCACTCAACAGCACGACCCAAAGATGAATGCAGACTCAATGTTTTTTTTTTTTTTTTTTTGTAAAGAAATTGAAAAATGAATCTATCAGAACAGAAGATTACAACGTAATTCAAATACGATATACATATGTTGTCATGAACAGAACCAAAAAACTAAGAAATATAATTTTACATTGCCATCAATTAGACGAGTTTAAAATCACATTACAGCATTTCATCTTCCATAAGTCAGTGTCAAGAAGACAAGAAGTTGAATGCACATTCATGCCCATCCTCCAGTGCGGCTTGATCCTCATGGGGTGGGATCTTGAACACAATCAAAGAAGTATCACCAGTGATCAAAAGTATAAATATCCGAAGTATCGCCATAATCTATAAAGATCTGGATAGGTTTGGTTTTTATATTAATTCAAAAAATGAAGAATGATTGTAGAGGATTATGATAAAGTTAGTTTATGAGCAACAAATTAATTGATATGATGAGATTACATCTAAATTAATCGATTAGCTAAATGACAAGCCGTCGTCACAACTAGTCAAATAAATTCACCTACTTAACATTAGTATAGCGGAAAATAGGGTCGTACCTACAGAGAAGGAATACTAATTACCAAGTATAAATTACTCTTATTATTATCTAGATAAATGATGATTTCAAATTTTTAGATTAAATAAAACTAAACCTAAAAATCTAAAATTGCAATTACTTTCAAAGGTTGAAACAATCAAGTTGGGAAAACCTAGGACATTGGGTTCACCTACCGAATATTTGATTTGGTTCAATTCATAAGTATTTGACTTTTAACTTCCATTAATCTCACAACGACTTATCTAATTAAGAACTATACCCTCTCGTGCTATAATTCTCTTACTTAGATTAGCCCTATGACAACTCTCGTGATTATATGGATTAAACAAAAGCACATTAAGACCATTACGAATCAAACATTGCAAAGGTTATAATCTTAAAGGTTATAATCTTACTCTCGTAACTTATAACCTACGTCTATTATTCCTACGAACTAATACTAATCTTCCACTCTCGCTAATTCGATTAGTATCTTCAGATATGTAAATAGTGGCCAATTACTTACACGGATTAAAACAAGAATAACAGATATTAATTAATAAAAAAAATCAAATAATAATGAACCAAATAAACTAAATAAATTCGGCGGCTACATCTAAGCCTAGGTTAAAGGAGTTTAGCTACTAAACATCATAAAAAATAATTCAATAATATTTAGAGACATCATCCACACAAATATGAAATTAAAATAATTAAAACTCAAAAACTAGGCCGAAGTAACCAAAAGGTTAAAATCAAATCACGGTTTCTGCTTGCTTCGGTTTGGTTCCCTCTGAAGCTTCTCCCTTGCGGTTGCGTCTTCAGGTTCTTCTCGGATTGAGGATGTTTCAGATTTGATGGTGATGGAAGGTGACGGGCTGAAGATGAGATGGAGGCTACTGGAAGTTCAAGGTTGATGGATGATGATGGTGCGTGGAGGTTGAGAGGAAGCAAGGTAGTGAAGATGGTGGGTGCGTGAGGTGAGCAAGGAGGAGAAGCTGCTGCTTGTGGTGGTCAAGGTGGTGGTCGGCGGAGGAGTTGCAGCCGTGAAGAAGGCGGCAGAATTTTTGGTGAAGGACGTGAGCTTTCGATCAAGTTCGATGGTAAAAATAAAACCCTAATCCTCCTTTTATAGGCTTCCGTCAAACCCTACTTCTTGGAGAGGAAGAAAACTTGTTTCCCCAAATAATATTGGGATTAAAATTTTACCAAATTCAACTCCAGCAGCCGCACCACCTTAAGCTCGGCCAAATCATAAGAAAAAAAACAAAAATTACAATTCAGTCCTCTAAATCTTCAAGTCTTCTGATTCCTTCCTCATTATTTCTTACAATTTTCACTTAGGCCCTTTTTAGTTGCTCTTTCTTTTCAATTTAGTCCAATACCTCAACAATTCTTCCCTTTGAGTACAATTCCTACAATCAAAAATGAAATCTTATAAATAGCATATTTGTACTCAAAACATTGGCAAAATCTCGCATAAAGGGATATTAAAAATAGATAAATTATGAGCACATCACTAAGATTTGGGGTTGATAAGGTTGGTAATTATTCTTAAAACTTAGTAATTAGTGGTAACTTAATTTTTATAATAATTCTTTTATCATTTCTAATTAATCAAAAGATGGAGAAAATTTCCAGTCCTACGTGGCAAATTATGGAAGTTTCTTCTTTATGGGTTTTCTATTATTAAATTACTAGTGATGTCTGGTCGCGCAATGCGCGACCCTGGCTCAATATATCTGTAGATCTTAGAAATGTTTGTATTTGAAAAAAAAATATTTTGTATTCGGCCCGATATATTTTAGAAATGTTTGAAAAATTTAGAAATGTTTTATAAGTGTGATCATAGAAATGTTTGTATTTGGCAAAAAAAGAAATTATATTTGGCCCGATACGTTTTAAAAATGTTTGAACATTTTAGAAATGTTTTATAAATGTTACTAATTAAATATAAATAAACTTGATCAAATATATGTCTTGAAGTAAATGTTAGACAAAATATAAAAGTATCCTAATAAGTTTAAATATTAGTAAGATGATTTATTGATGTCCTCCATTTGTCGTGCCAAATCAATACTTAGTTTTGGAGATTTATAATAGTTTTGTAGTAACCTTCCTCCGAATGGTGTACGTTTAATTATTGGAACTGTTTCTTCCAAAGGTTTATAGGTACTAAAATATCAAAAATATGATTTTGAAACTGGTTAATTGTTGAAACTGGTTGATCACAAATATGAGAATGAAAATTAATGTAAATTTGCATAGGTTTCAAGTTATAGCAAAAAAAACTCACCTCACCATGGCAAATAAACAAAAGAAAGAACGTAAAAGAGACCATTAAAAATTGAAAAATTATTTTTTTTCCTTTAGGTAAAAATGATGTATAAAAACACAAATAAACGTAAAAACACCATTCCTTTCCTCTCCACCTCAAATTCATAAAAGACTTTCCCATAAATTAGTTAGAAGAAGCGACCTGAACTATTTATATGATAAGGAACTCAAAAAAGTCCAAAAATCAAATCCAAAAAATTATATTCTTGAAAGCCCAAACACAAAAAAAAACGCGCTTCATTTGCAAAAAAAAAAATAATAATAATAATTGGTCAATTGGGAGTATGAAACAAAATCAAAAGCATTTAAACAAAGAAAAAACACAGTTCATAACTGAGCATATACGGAAAAAAAACTGAGACTCTATAATAATTAAAAAAAAAAACCACTCTAATTGAATAAAATATAAAAAAGAAATTAAAAAAACTACACTTTGTAACAAAAACCCAATTGATCAATTCAATCCAAACAGAACTAAAATCATACATAAATTCTAGGCTAACTAACCATATAAGAAATCACATCATATTACCTGGCAACGGCTACGGTAGTTGTAATGGGTGGACGCATAAAAATAATAGTAATAACGCTATTCTTGAACGTGAAAATAAAAATAATAAAAGCCGTACAAATGATCTGTGGATATAAATTCATTTAAATTTTAATATATGTAATGACACCACCACAACGACCGAAGCAAGATCAATGAAAAATTATTTTTTTTCCTTTGTGTTTATATAGAGAAGTAAAGAGAATATTTTTTGAAGTCGAAATTTTATCCGATTAGGATGTAGTTGATCATCACTAATGAAAAGATTAAGCATGCTAATAGGAAAGGAGTATATTTTACCACATATTCTCAATTGATGATTGATGAGGAATTTGTTTTTTTTTTTTTATTGTGTAGATGAGATTGATTAGGGAGTCGATTGTCTAATCATTAATATGACCTTGAACTGTCCAATCATAAATAAAAATAGTCCTACATACATATTATAATTCCTAAAATTACCTGCAACCGATGCAATAGGTTCCTTCAAATAACATGAGTCTCCAAACTCCTCTATTGCCTAATCATCCAAAATTAAACAGTTAATATTATCCCACCAAACCACTCAATTGGCTGCTCCGGCAAACAAAGTTTTATTGAGCCACAGTAAGTTATTGAATTTTTAATTTTTTTTTTTGTTTTCTAGACATAATGAAAAATTAGTTGACCGCAACAATTTTCATTAAATTCATTAAGTTTCCTAGGTTCGAAGTCTTTTCAGTTGGAGGTTGGCTTATTTCTGTGCCACCGTTAACTTCCCCGATGGTTTCAAAAAAATGGCGATAGTGCAACGAATAACCTTCTTAAATTTGGATTTTTTATGAAGCTATGGTTTTTTTTTTTTTTTTGTGAAAATAGGAGGTGGAGGTGGATTTGGACTGCATTTGTCTTTTAAGTCTAGGAAACTGATGTGTAAATAAAAATTTACTTTAAAAATATGATGTGGAAATGCCACGTGGCAAATGGTGGTGTTTTCTATTAAGTGTGATTTTTGTTTCTAATATAGTAAGATATAGATAGATTGGATTTTTTTATTTTATTTTGGTTGGGGAGGTCCAAATTATGGGGTTGTGTGGGGTCACACTCTGTCTCTGCCTGGCAGGACGTCAATTCACATCTCATAAGCAATCGACAAGAGAATGGTGGCCTACAGCCAAGAATGGGAGGTTAATGTTGCAAACAGGCTTAAAGCAGTGATCCATCATTCGGAACATCTGCTCTGGGAGTAGGCAATTTTTTGCATCAAGTTCTGCCTACCTCTTTGTGGTGATCGCCGTTAGACTTGATCTTGAAATTAGCCCTCTACATTTTTGGTCATTATGATGGTGGTTTAAGGTCTCATTAATTTCTATTGCTCTAAGAACCGCAGGAAGGCAAAACAAACCCAAACATGAAACACCCTTTTGAGCTGAAGGGACTGAGCGCGAGAGGTTAAATGGAATAGTGCTATTTTAAGTTGTAGTAACAGACTAAAAGCTTAGAGCCAAGGTTTCAATCTAGTACAGTCGCATATACAACCAACACTTTACATTCTTACCACAATCCTTTCCTGTGTTTTGAATGTAAAATGAAAACTTAAAAAGGGAAAATAAGATAAAGAAACACTGTTGGCATGCTTGAATGTAGAAACTAGACATCTAGTGGAGCTATAGCCTGCTTTCTTAGGGCATTGGTTCTGATTCCAACTGATGAATTGCAGTTCAGTCCCTTCTCCTTTGCAGCAACAGTCTGGAGTTTTTCAGCATTAAAAGCTGCAGGCCCTCTTGCGCATAGCAGTAGATTCTCTCATGAGCATCATCTACCTGGGAGCACATTTTTCATTCTCGTTTCTTTCGCCTGAAAGGAAAGAAATGAGAAAAAAAGATTAAAAAAGTCAAACTGAGATGTTTGAGAGAACGTTATCAAACATTGAGAAGAGTTCTCGATATGTGCCAAGTTCAAATGAACAATCATATGAAAACAAGCTGGTAAAAGTGATTTGCTGATGTTGGCTTCTGAATCTTTTTCTTAGTTTTTCCTTAAATCTTTATCATTTTCGCAGAAAGTAACCTAGAACGTTATAGTTTTTTTTTTTAAAAAAAAAAAAAAAGAAAGAAAGCAAAGTAAACAACAAAAATTTTATTTAGAAGGGTGCACTTCTATGATGGACAAGAATGAGAACACAAATTGAACCGAAATCATCCCACCTTGAATTCCTTTTTTTTTTTTCTTTGAAATATCCACCTTGAATTCACCAGTAATGATTCTATTGACATAGGTAATGCAACCTTCTAAGCATTTATTTTGTTTGTTTTCATGTTTTTCTTACTGCTTATTAATAATGACAAGGTGGAGCTATGTTAACCTGCATTTGAATCATACAAGTCTAATAAAGCCTATACATGTTGATTGGATCCTGAAGCAGAATTTGTTCTTTGCATTACCTATATTTGTTCTATTGATAATGCAGCAGAACTTGCATTCAAGAACACCATGATTACAACAATCCATTTCTGGAGGTCCTTCATGATGTGTACACCTTTTTACCAAGGTTTTGGCTTTTGGCAACAGGAACATAACATTGGCAACTTAGAACCACCCGGATTTCTTATGCATTATCAACATGTTACTGGATCCTTCTGTTTCATGACATGATGAAACTAGTACATGATAAAGTAAAAATATTAGCCATCCAATAACGAAATGACTAACTAGCATTACACATTGAAGGCTGAAAGACTTATTATCAAATATCATAGGTTCCATTCAACTTCAACAGCAAACAGACCCTGTTCTATCTATTGGTAAACACAATTTTCCACATTACTACTCGACGGAACAGTTCAAAGCTAACTCAAAGCAGCCTAATCTTATCACGAGAATTAGAATCCTACTCCAACAAAACTGGAAGGTAGATATTAGGCATACATTTAGGGAATGTAATGGGGGGTGGCAGACCTCTTCTCAAAAAGTGGCCTTAGTTCGACGTTTGGGTTACATATTTTGGCAAACCCTACGGATATACTACTTAGTAGTCTTTTGGTAGATAAAGCGGCAACTCCTTTCCTAGTGCGGTTGTAAATCAGCTTTAAGCTTCGATCTTATATATAAGCGCTAACTCAAAGCAAAAACTCATAACTTAAAGAATGATCAAGATCCTTTCTTGAAACAAAAAGATCCATACAAGTAAAAGTAAAAGGCATGCACTTAATTGCTTTTAGCTATATTACTCATTCATTATAAGTTGCCAGATTAACAGGAATATAGTTACTTACTCGGAAAGAGAAGAACAGCTACGATCAAGAAAAGACACTGATAAGATCATAGTTGCCAAACTCCCGTTGTTCTTCAACAATTCTTCTAACCGACTGTTTGGTAGAATCTCCACATTGGTGGACTTCTATTCTCTGCAGGGTGATGATTTCCCCGAAAATTGAAGGAACCTCCTTTAGCTGCCCACAATTTCGCAACAGTAGCTGCTCAAGACAGGGAAATGGATCATCCCAAAGGGAGAAATCCCAGATGGCAATGTCTAGGGAGTCTAATTTCAAGTATCTAAGATTTGGGAATACTCCATCTTCCATTAACCAAGAGGACCCAACAAAGGCTCTAGAAATTAATTTGAGAACCTCAAGATATGGTAAACTCGAGATCACTGAAATACAATTCCACGGCAGACGGAAATTCGATAGAGTCAGCTTCCTCAGAGTCGAGGGGAAGATGAATTCACCAGTTTTGAGAGGCCTGCCGTAGTATGTTATCTCCAGTGTGTTCAACAAATACAGATGTTCCAGATCAGGAAACCGGCATACATGCATTGAACGACCTCGCGGCTGTAAGAATATGCATTTCAATTTTCTAAGATTGGGAAACCTCCTAACTGTGTCATTTGTTTCGTCTCCACAAACAAAAGACGGCATGGAAAGTGATACTAAACTCTTTAAGAGGCTCCCATTTTTGTCACACTGCAAGGTAAATATACAATGATTAGTCACATGAACATGACGTAATTTTGTCATGCTCCAGATGGTATCTGGCAAAACAAACTTATTCATCAAACCCTTCACAACCAGAGTTTCCAGATTTTGTAGTTTGGACAGAGATGATGGTATACAGTCCATATCACCACCAATTGCCAAATACCTCAAAGGAAGAGGTAAGTTGATTCCACCATGCAATGAATTGCCTATATTGATCGATTCCAAATCCAAAACCTTAAGAAGTTTGAAGTTGTCAAATATGAACGATACATCACTGTCACATCCAGGATACATTTCACTAGTGTCAAAGAATTGAAGAGACCGGAGATATGGGACCGAAGGCGTTTTTGCAATGAATTCTTCTGGATCTCCACAAATTGATAGCCGATGCCCAGAATCGATCAAATTTGAAGGATTACGATGTTCATCATGAAGATGATTAGGAGAACCATAAGAAGATTCACCAGATATCAGTTGCAAAAATTTTGCTTCTTTAGCTTTTAACAAGCAGAAATCAAGTATTTGATTATGAACTCTGCATGTTTTCACCTCACCGTTAGATCTCTGCTTGGAAAGTATAACCAAGCGTCTCTGAATTAGATCCATCAAGTACTCCTCAGCAAGATCTTCTAAGCTCTTATTCTCCACATTAGGTATAATAAATCCTTCTGCAATCCATAGCCACAGCAACCTCCTAACTGAAATATCCTCATCCCTTGGACATACTCCAAAGTAAAGAAAGCACTGCTTCAAATGATCTGGAAGCTTTTTGTAGCTTTCTTCAAACATTCTGATGAACTCTGTTACTTGAGCATTTACTATCTGTGAGCCTGCACGCTCTGCAACTTCTACCCACTGAGCCTCGGGTTGGCTAACAAGAAGACTTGCTACCGAAACAACAGCAACAGGTAGACCTTTGCAATTTTCAGCAATTCGCCGCCCGACTTCACACAATTCTGGAGGAGATCCTTCATCGCCAAATACCAACATCTGTAACAACTCCCAACTTTCATCAATCGAGAGTCCTCGAAGAGGAAGAGGATTTGGAACCACATTATAGATTCGACTAGTCATCAAAACTCTACTTCCATACGAGCCATCTGGGAAGGAACTCTTCAAATCATCCCATGCTGCAGAACTCCATACATCATCCATTACGATCAGATACCTTCTTGATTTTAAGTAAATATACAACACAGAGCATAATTCTTCCTCTTTCCTTGTGAGCATGTCGGGTCTAACTTCCGTAAGACCCTTAATCAATTCAAGCAACAAGTCTCGCTTTTCATATGCTGGAGAAACACAACACCACACCCGAACATGGAAATGATTTACTACATCGTGACTGTTGTACACATTTTCAGCTAAAGTGGTCTTACCAATGCCTGGCATCCCAGTAATAGAGACAGCTTTTAGCCGACTTGTTCCCCTAGTGAGACGCTCAATCAGAGTAGCCTGTTCTTCATTGAAACCCACCATAGGCACAGTATTCATCGGCAACGCCAAATGGTGATACCTATTGTCGTATATTAGGAAATAAATTAGAAATTATGATGTGAATACATGATACTCCTCATCTAAGGTGTTGTATATTCAACAACATTACCACAAACAATAATAACCAAATTACGGGGACATTCATCATTAAGTGCCTCAATTTTCATTACCTGTACGAATAGGTCTCCACGCCAACCCCAAGGATGGTGGTGTTGTCGCAATAATCAACCAGCTGGACTTTAACGTCTGTAATCTCTTCCGAGAAGTGATAAAGCCACATCAAAAGCTGAGAATTTGGATCATTTGAACTCTTCATTAAATCGATCACATTCTCCACATGGTGTGCAGCATCAACAAGCCGGGTCCTGATTTCATCAATGCTCTTCTGATTCTTAACAATATCTTCATCAAGAAAATGCCCATACTTATGTATTATGAGCTCCAAATCTCCATGAATGGCTTCGATTTGATAGGTTGCACACTCCACAGACTCAGGAGCCCCGCTAGACAGCTCTTTCAAATCGTGCAAGAAGGATCTAATGGAACCCAACCCAGGAGTTTTGGGGCAATTAAACGGGGGCATTTGAAAGTAAAGATCTTTGAGCTTAGCCTTCAAGTTCTGAACCTTCCCCAACAAATCAGCAAGTTGAAATTCCATATTTTCAGGTGAGCACGAAGAATTACAGAGACATATAATACCTGCAGCCAGTTCCTCAATATCTGCCAAGATCAATTTCTCATCCTCCGTATCCTCCTCTTGTTTTGGCTGATGAACATCTGATTTGATCAAGAAGATTAGGCCCTCCCGAAGAGTTCCAATTTGCTTCTTCCAATTGCTAAGTTCATCCTTATTCAGTAATTCCCCCAATAAGAGAACATCCGCCTTGAAGAGCTTGAGCTGTACGAGGAACTTACCAAGTAAATCCCTTGTCCTGTTTCCATTTCTCAACACAATTGAGCCCTCCTCCTCATCAGATTCAGAGGGATGATCATACAGAGCTTCCACATACCCAGGAATTTCTTCAATCAGCTTTAAGGCTTGCTTATCAGTCTTATCCTGTGGATGTGAAGTGAATGATTTGACCAGAAATGTAGAACCCTCATACAATCCATCAATGAAGTCCTCCACTGATGTACCGAGTCTCAGAGGGTTAGTTTCCCGGTGGGCAAAAATCTCAGCTTTAAAAAACCAAATCCTTGCAAAGAGAATCGCAAGGTCGTAATTATAAGCTCTGCCATTCTTCTTCCGCCTGAGATGACTTACTTCCTTGACCACGTTCCTAACATCCGAAGAAAACCTGCGAACATCCATGTATTTCCAAGGAAAACAGAAATTCAGCACGAATTGCAGAATCTGTTCTTGGTTTTGAGGATTTGAAAAGATAACAAGAAAGAAGAACAAATGCACTGTACTGTGCAGTGTCAAAGTATACTGATGAATGAGAGCTCAAAGTTTGCACTCCGGTACCAATTATTGGCACTTCGGCAGGAAGAAAATGACAAGAAAATATAAGGGGGTTTATTTTATTTTGGGCACAAGCTTACCAAACTTTGGTAAGTTTCTACGCTTGAGTCAACCCAGAAATTCCCGTCCCACAAAAATAGTACACATCGAGTTTTGATTTTTATACTATTTTTAATACAAATTTGAAAACTCAATATTGACTACTTTTGTAGGACGGGAATAGTAATATTTTGTAAAGCTGCTTTTCGGCCCTTAAAAGAAACTAGATACTTGCCCCGGACGAATGCCCGGAAAAACATCTGTATTTCAAAGTAAAATTTTGTACAATTTTATTCTTGTAAGTAACAATATATACTAATCGTATAGAATAAGCTTTGTAATCAATCCAGTCCATTCCGACAGCAAACAAATTACAGCTATATTCAAAATATTATTGGGATATTAAAATTAAGACTTAAAGGTAAAACCATCTTGTTATCACATATTTTAGTGATACCACTTCCTCGGTTCTCTTAAAACTTCCAACTACTCTTCCAAATCAAATCAAGACAAAGAACCACAGCTTAAAAGAAATTTGGAAAACAAATTTGCAGGAACTTGTTGATTTATGTTTTTCTTTGTACATTCGGCAAAATAAACAGCAGGGGATTACTGCAGCAATAAATACAAAAGTCTTGCTTGATAAATGAATGGAGATGATTTACAAATTGAAGTGAACTCCCAACAGTTTTCCTTCATTAAGGAATGTAATACATAGTGGGAGTTTGCGGGATCGTGTGGCAACTGCAAATCCTTTGAAGTCGCTCCACTTATCACCAGAGAATCTTGAATCCTACAGGTCCATCTGATAAGAATATACTAGTGGAGTCATAATTAGACCTATCGCTCCTCTGTCGTTGAAACTTCAGACGTAATCTCGAATTAGGATTATTCAGCACATGCTCATCCTTAAGCTCCCACCACATTTGCAGAAGCAAGGATGCCCTTGTGCTTGACCTGCTTTCTTCATCCTTCATTATATTCTATAAGTAACCAGCTACCTCATGCAATAATCTAGATATTCAAATACTGAGAGCCTTAATAAATAGAGGCAAATATTTTTTTGTATAGACCATAAAGAAAATGATATGTGCCAACAAACTTAACACACATTTCAACACACTTTGTGTTCTTCTTTCTCAATAAATGTTGCTTCCCAAACCTCCTACTCATAATAATTCCAACATAGATATTAAAAACATCACCTTTGCTCATTCCGGCTTAATGAGAATCAAGTAAAATGCTAAGTTCCACTCTGGTAAGGGCAACCTGCAGTTGTTGTACTCCTAGAAAACCACTAATGAAAATCAAACAGAATTTGCAACTTATTTATATAGTGATCTGACTAATACCAGAACAGTGTCTAACATGCAGTTGTTGCACTTCCAGAAACCACTATATGAAAATCAAACACAATGTGCAACTTAAGAGTCTATTGAAACTATACCAAATTAGCTATACCATATATTATGATTCCTTTCCTATACCATAAACAATACCATATATTAAACCAGACGCGTTTGTTGCGCGTCCCGGTTGTGTGTTGCGCGTCCCGTCCGGTCCGCGTTCATTGCGCGTCCCTGGTTCAACCAGGACAGTTTTCTTGTCCGGTTCAATTTTTTTTTAAGTTTTTTTTTTTAACCTTTGAATTGCTCATTTTCTTTCTCTCTCTATTGTATTAAATGACAGGGGCAAAATCGTCCAATTTTTTTTAGGTGGCTTTGAGTACTAAAGTTTGTGGCTTTAAAAATCCATCCCCTTATTTCAATTTTTCTTATTATTTAACATGTGAGTTTTTTTTGAGAAGGGGGAAGCAATTCTATTTGATTTATCTAACTTTTTAGAGTGTCACGTATCAAAATGATTTTGTACTGAAAAAGGCATTTGGAGGGAAAATTTTCAACGTGGAGCTGACACATGTCCTTCTTGTGTGCTGCTTTAATTAAGTACAATAAATAATAATAATGTCTCTTTTGAATTCTTAACTTTATTCTTGTAGTTTGTTTGACACCTAACAATTTTCCCATCTAATAATATAATAACAGGTACTTTTCCCCCAAAAAAAAAACAATTTTCCCATCTTGTATGAATTATGTACATACTAGTGGTGGAACGATTGAACAAATAAAAAAAGACGATGTAATGTACAATTATCGAACTTACTTTACTTCTCGTGTGTTTATTGATCTTTATTTTTGATAATTTCGGTGTGAGGTTTTAATGAGGAAAAATTCTTAATAAGGGCGTTGCAATTTCATAATTTCTTATTAGGGCGTAAAACTTTTGTAATTCCTGTTAAAGGCGCATAATTTCTTTAATTCCTTAAACATGATTTCTGTGACATTTTAACCCTTTTTGTGATAAAGAAAGTTTTTGTAATTTTTTTCCCCTTTCATGTTCTTATATTCTTCGCAGAGAGGGTTTTTTCTTCAATTTTTTTTTTTCGTTTTTCACTTTCTTGAATATCCTAAAACCAAATCATTAATCTTTCCAGGCTCTTGTGCTCTATTTCTTACTGGCCAAATCACCAAACTGCTTTATTTCTTGTCCACTTAAACATAGATTTATAAATATTTGGATATCAAAGAATTTAATTGAAAAAATGAAGGATAATTTTATTTGATTTAGAATATGAGATGCTTCGTGTTAATTATTGGTGATATCAAGGGAAAAGATCAATTGATAATTAAACTCATGTTGCAAACTTGATTTTTACTTTTCCGACGATGAAAACTTGATGTTTACGGCGGAAATGGCTTGGGGACTGCTGGAGTTAATTAAAGCATAAACAAATGGGAGCATAAAGGATTTTGAGGTAGAATTGTCACAGAAAACATGTTTAGTTCATTAAACCATTTTTATGTCCTTTCTAAGAATTTTAAAAGGTTTATGCCCTTATTAAGAATTATGAGAGATGTATACTCTTAATAAGAATTTTCCCTTTAAGGGGACCTAATTATTCCCTCGAACAAAATGGATTCTGGCTGTGCATAAGAGAATTCCACTTTTATCAAAAAAAAAAAAAGAAGAAGAGAGAATTCCACACACGAACCTTTCATTATAATGAGAATATGCAAGATATGCTGACTTTAATTTACTCAAGTTTGTAACAATTGTGACATTTTTACACTTGTTTTGTTCAAACAGTTCACCATGGAAGAAAACAAAATTGAACAGGCCGAGCTTGAGTCCCTCCATGTCAAGATGATGTCCAGTTTGTTGTATTATTTTAGTGCAACAAACCGAATAATTATTTGATAAGTGTATGTTAATCATATTTATGAAAGAAACTAAATTAATTAACAGCATAGCAGACGCAAGAAAATGAAAGCTGAAATTGTTCTCCAAAGGAAACATGAGTTTAGTTCACTAAAATGTAACACACAAATTTGATTGCCGACGTGAAATTATGAAGACAAAAGAAACTGAAACATAAGAGTACAGAGCTGATTCAAATGCTAGCGATTCTCGATCTTATTTCTGTTGCCATCAAAGCTGTTCCTGCAACAATTCCTCACATTGAGTGATCTAAAGAAGGACAAAACAAAGAAGTAAAAGGTGAAGTTTGCAGTTTTAAATTTTCAATAACTCTAACACTAACTAGCTAAAAAAGTAACAAATTAATCAAGAAGTAATCAGGAGGCAAGATAAACTAACCTGATCAAGAATCGCATTCTACAACATTCAGTGATCTGGGGGATATATTGAGAGCTTGAGGATGCTGTCTGTGTTGTCCTTTTTTGCTTGGTCTATCTTCAACAGCTGAAGTTTCCTGGCGGAGGAAGCCACTGCGGTATTGGTGCAATGAAGGATCACTGAATTAAGACTGGGAATATCTTCCAAGCCGCGAGGAATAGCTTGAAGCGATTCACAGTTTTTGAGTACTAGACTCCTGAGTTGTGGAAAATGTTCTGTTGATGCCCCTTCCCAAGCCACCAAATCCATGCGTCCAATGTACAAGTATTTGAGACGGGTAAAACCCCCTTTTGCGGTCTTCCATGAGTTCCCTTGAAATGCAAATTCCTTCAGTATGAGAACCTCAAGATGCTTTAACTCTCCTAATGTAGTCATCTCTGTCCATTCCAGTTGCGTGTTCATCAAAGTAAGCTTTCTTAACTGTTTGGGAAAGCTGTTGTGAGGAGGAAGGCCGTACAGTTTGGAGGTTTCTGAGGTTGTATCATCATTCAGCAGTTTCAGTGTTTCAAGGCATTCTAATGTTTGAAGATACCCAAATACACTAGGATTATCATGAGTCTGGAAAAGCCTAGTTAACACCCCACGAATTCCCAATTTTCTGAGTTTGGGAGTTCTCTCGAAAACTTCCTTTCGGCAACTTTCAGGAGAGATGGTGGATAGGGTTTGGACACTATCACCTCCTCTGGCGTCCTCCTTTGGGCTTGGTAAATTGGTAGGCACATTAGTATGCAAATGCCTAAACTCTGGTAACTTCCAAATGTCTGCTTTGATCTCAAGGCTAGAAGATGTTGTATTTACTATGAGTGTTTGCAGGTATACCAAGTCAGAAAATTCCTGAGGGATTTTTGAATAGTTGGAAGATATGGCTATATATTTTAAAAGACCAAGATCGTACAGTTCAGTCGGGAGGCACGTGAACATTAGGGATTGAACTTCCAAAACCCTGAGAAGCTTGAAGGATTTTGGGATGCGAGGTGCAAGTTTTTGTTTCACGGTTTTCTTATCTTTGTAGAAAGTTAAGAAAGAGCGAACACACTTACCAGATGGCTTTTTAGACAAATATTCCGAAATGTCTACATTGTTGAGGCAAATGCGGCGACAAGTTTCCAAAGATGAGTTGCCTGCTAAGCAGAAGGAAGATTTATCCTGCATCATTTCCTGGAAAAGATTATTCTTAGCAGCTTCCTTCTTGCAAAACTCTCGAAGGGTGTCATGAATTCGACAAGTTTTGATTTTCTCATTTGTTCTTTTCTTTCCAACCATCACCAAGTTTCTATAAACGAGCTCTTCCAAGTATATCTCTGCCATGTCCTCCAAGTTTGAATCCCCAGTTGTTTGAATGAGCTTTTCTGCAACCCACATACGTATCAATTTCCACACAGGAATCTCAAAGTCCTCGCGAAAGACTCCAAGATAAAGAAAACACGGCTTCAAGTAGTTCGGCAAGTGCTTATACATGATGTCTAAGACCTTGGTAGTTTCTTTGTCATCCGTGGCTATGTAATCCTTCACACTCTCAGTCACGATCTTCCACCATTTAATATTGTTCCTATGTCTCCAAATAATACCCGCAATAACCACTATGGCCAATGGTAATCCAGCGCACTTTTTGGCGATTTCTATTTCATACTTGACAAACTCCTCATCAGGGCAACTATTCTTTTGGAAAACCCTCCAGCATAGTAACTCTCTACTCTTTTCTAAGTCCAAGAAATCTAATTTGTAAGGACGCCCTTCTGGATTTGTGTACTCTGCGACCTTTTCATTTCGAGTAGTTATCAAAACTCTGCAACGTGTCTCGTTGTTAGGAAAGGCGCGCTTGAATTCATCCCAATCCTCTGGTTCGTAAACATCATCTAAAACAATCAGGTATTGTTTCCCCTCTAATTGTTTGTAGAGATAGTCTTGCAAATCTTCTACTTTCTTCTCTTTGACATCATCACTGACTTGGGTAAACGAACTCAAAATTTCCAAGAACACATCCCTCTTCTTGTAATCTTTTGAAATGTAGACAAAAGCACGAATCATGTACTCATAATCAACTTTGAGGTCCTTAAAAACTTTATTAGCAAGTGTAGTCTTCCCTAAACCAAGCATTCCAACTATGGAAACAACCTGCAATTGCTCAGGACCTTTTGTGAGAAGTTTTTCCACATCTTTAGCTGCCGTTTCGAAGCCGATCACATGCTCCTCCTCAACTTTAGGCCGCTGTTACCATTAAGAAATATAATAAGAAAAAGTACCACATATATTAGACAAAATTATTAAAAAGAGACAAAATTATGATGGATATCCCATTTGTAAGTATGGATGCAAAGTCAATTGTGAACTAAGTTAACAATGCTTAGTTATATGCTCATTGTTACAGTATTGTGATGATATGAATTGTTGATGTTGACTGACAATTACCTAATTGAATGCCTTACATTCAATTGAAGTACTGTATTTCAAAGAGGTAAGGAATTAAAACCAGCAAGCAGCCCTGATTGCAAGAAATAAGTCATTTGGCCCCTTGAATTAGAATTAATAAAAAAAATTTGCTTTATTATACGAATCACAAATTCAAAACCTCACAAAATTGTAAAGTGACATATAAAAGAAAATCATTCCACTAAAATAATATAAAAATATATTGCTAATATCATTGATTACGGGCAGTTCGCATAGTTTACAAATCGAAATGTAGTACTCATTCGGTATCAGATTGAATTTTTGACTTTAAGTATAAATAAATTGTAATAAAAATCAAAATCAAAATCAAAATCGGACAATCATTTCTGAATAGATAGTTTATTTATGCATTATATAACAATGAGCTCGCTCACACTATTAATTCATTTTTAACTTCCTGACATTGTTTGTTTTAACTGCTTTTTGGTTCAACTGCTCCTTCATATTCAATTGTTGTTGGACGATAAAAATAGTTCTTTATCACAATAAAAAAGAAAGGTAAAAAACCAAACTACCAAAAGGATCATGATTGAATTGACATCTTTTTCCTAATGTAAAATTTCCCTTTAAATTTGAAAACAAGACACTTGTCTCACATTGCAAATGGTAACTCAACTTGATCAACATATATACCCTATGTGTTATTCTTCTCAGTGCCAATTATTTTTAAGGTGAACTATCCTGGGTTTATACAGGCAGGCCTTCAAGACCTAACAAGAACCTATATTAGATATATAGAACAGATGAATCATAAAGAAATTTGGACAGATCGGTTAGGTGAAGAATCATGAAGAAGAGAGAAGATCGAAAATCTGACTAAAACACATTAGTTCTAATAATTCAATAATCCGCAGTTAATTTTTTCCTTGTGTAGGGCGTTTACCTCCTTGGGCTCCACAGGTTGAGCATCGGAGGTCAAAGCCTGATTGAGCAAGGAGTCATTGGCGTGGGGAACATGGTCGGCTCTGATCTTCTTGATTGCTTCAATAATAGAGTTGATCTCAACTCCGGTTTCCCGGCGCAGTTTCAGCTTATCGGCAAAATTATGGATCACTTTGGAAGCACCAGTTCTTGAGCTTTGCTCCGCCGCCTGAAGTATGAAAGACTCGATGGCGTCCTCAGCTTGGCAAGTGAGCACCCTGATGTCCTTGACCACTTTCTTGACGTAATCGCTGTCCCGATTGTACCGTTCGAAATCCTCCACGATACATTTCAGATACTCCAGTTCGTTTCGCAGGGATTTGATGTTCTCCGGCACATCCGCGATCAAGTGATAGTTATAATCGAGTATTTGGGTGATGTGGTTTAGCAGGAATTGCAAAGCCACATCTGCTGACATTTTTTGCTGGGCTTTTCTCCCTTCTTTCTTTGGCTGTTGCCTGTTGGACTAGAAGAGAATGAAGTCGAATAATGATTGAATTAATGAGAGTTGAAAGAACACAAAAAGAAAAATAAGACCACTTTATGAAGCAGGCAGGTTTATTGCCAAAAAGTCTCTGAACTTTGTTCAGCATTAACAAATGGCCCGTTGATTCATCGCTTATTAAAAGTTAAAACAATACTCCCACCAGTCCGATTCAATAGGCCCATTTAGACATACACGGAGATTAAAAAAAAAGTGGGTAATATAATTTATGTGGTTAATTTTAAATGAAATTCCTACTACACCCCAATTAATGACTAGAGAGTTATTAGTTGATATGAGAGAGTAATTGTTAAAATTAATTAAATGTTCTTGATTTTAGTGAAAGTAGAAAGAATATATTAGAGAGTTTATAGTAAAACTTAATTAAATTGTCTGAAGTGTGACTAAGTTTTGAAACATCCCAAAAATAGAAGTGAGCTTATTGAATTGGAATGGAGTGAGTACATTATGTTTTTTTTTTCTATGTACGTAGTATACTACATTACATTTTTTCATCAGTATTAACTGATGAGTTTATTTTTTTGTTTTTCCTAACCACCCCTATTATGTAATAGCCTCGAAACTACCGTTGGCGGTTTCATTTTGATGGGTAAAATCATAAGATTATTAAAAGATAAAGACACTTTTCTTTTATCATAAGAGAGAAGAGGAAAGTATCATATAGGAAGGAGGGTTGAGTGGGTGTTTAGGTGATAAGATGGATGATGATTATCATTAGAATGTTAAATAATTTGACCATCTAATTTTTTTTCCTTAAAAAATATCATATCCCATGCCAATCAAAGTAATAATTGCTTTGCAAAGTCGTTTTTTTTTTTTTCAGACTTTATAGTTTGATTAAAACATTTATAGAATTTTTATTATTGCGCCAGTGGGCAAAGTCTTTCTTTTATTTGGTCAAGGTCTTTTTTTATTAGTACCACTATAAATATAAAGTATAAACTACTTGTACATCAATTTATGACACCAATTACCACCCCAAGTGATTTTTGTTTTGGACTCTCTGTCTCTGTGGCCCCCCTGGTGGAAATGAAGTGGGCATCCGACTGCCGAGGGCCGAGACTAAGGAGCTACAAGGACTATAATTTTGTTGTGGGCACCACCATGTGCAAGGATTTAGGAAAAAAAATGCCCGGTTCTGTAAATGTCCATAAAGGCATAAACTAATTGACCAATCAATCATTCTTCGAGGAGGTCCTTTTATGAGATCGACTTTTCAAACCACACTTTTTGGACCAAGTGGAAATCCGGCCAAGACAGAAACTGTGATCCAATGGCCTACTGAATGTTCAGGAGCAATAATAATAGGCATAGAAAAAGTTGACGATTCAGTGTAAAATACATTATAGCAAAAAGTCACTACTATATTTGATCAAAATGAGCGAGGATGATCTCTACCAAATAGTACCAATTCGCATCATACAAATTGGTTATAACGAGTATTGTAAACAAAATTAAAATAAAAAAATGCGCGTTCCATTCTCATATCAACTAGCTCAATCAAAGATTAGGCTCTGTTTGATAATCACTTAATATAGTGACTTAATTTATTTAAGTACTTAATAAAATTAAGTGTGTTTGATAATCGCTACTAAAAAATATTAATGAATTAAGTTCTGAAGTAATTAAGTACTTATAAATTAAGTACGTTTGATAACTAAAATTTCACTATCTGAATTAATTAAGTGCGTCTGAATGTCCAGTTAAATTGTGAGCCAGAAAATAAGTAGTAGGCTTACCACTTATCACTTAATTTCTGTAATGACTCTTTTTTTTCTTTTTTCTTTTTTTTCTTTTTTTCCTTCGTCTTTATTTCGACGCTTATTTTTACATTGTTTTAAAATTTTTATTTTCTTAAGATGAATTAATTAAGAGTGCTTAAAGTTGAATTTATATTATGAGTATAAAAGATCTCAAACTTTCAAACTCAAATCAAACTAATTTTAATACATGAAATTTGCTAAATAACAAGGTATATATATATGTAATAATCTAAGGTCCTGTTTGATAAACCAATTAAGCAATTAAACTTATTAATTAAGTACTTAATTGATTAGTATTGTTTAATGACATATTATCATAACAACTTAATTGCTTAAGAACTTAATTTATTAAGGACTTAAATTTTAAGTGTGTTTGATAACTCAAAGTAGGATGTCTTAATAAATTAAGTGGGTCTGAAATGCTAGTACAAATGTGAGCCTAAAAATAAGTGATACGCATATCACTTATGTCTGAACTGAATTCTTGAGACGATTTTTTTTCTATTTATTTATTTTTATGTTTATACTTTTGATATTTTATCTTAAAATATTTTTATTAATCATGATGTCTAGTTCTAAATTAAAATTTATGTAAATTATTTTTTATTTAATGAATATTTATTTGTATATAAAAATTAAAATCCATTAAATTCCATGATCAATATATCTTTACCATAAAATATGAATTTTTTTTGACAATGATAAAATATGACATTATTATTAACTGAAAAAATAATAACATAAAAAAATTTAAATATTTTTGTTACATTATTTAATAATAATATTATTATTTTTGTTATCATAGTTTCATATATATATCAATTATTTTTTAGATAAAATTATAAGTCAAGATACTTTAAATTTCAGTGTTCAGACTTCAGATTTCAGACATTTTATTCAGTATTTAAATTTTGGTTTTTATCAAACACGACAAACTTAATCAATTCAGTACTTATGATTCAGTTTTCAGATTTCAGATTTCAGACCCAAATTAAGTTTTATCAAACGGGCCCTAAGTTTAATTATATATTGATTATTTACCAAGTGTAATATCTACTTTCATTATATATACCAAAAACTTATTTTAAAATTATGATTATATTATTTAGAATAAAATAATAGTTATTTTTCTATTTAAAAGAATTTTGTTCATAATTCAATTTTAATGATATTAAAATTTTAAATAACTTTTAAACTTGAGTATTCAGATTCAGTCTTTAGACTTCAAATTTCAGTCTTCAGACATCACATTCAGACGTTTTTATCAAACAATGTAAATTCAGTCTTTAGACTTCAGACTTCAGTGTTAAGTGTTAAGTGTTCAGATTCAGACTTCAGTGTTAAGTGTTATCAAACGGAGCCTTAGTTAACAAAATCTCCCATATCCAGCTATTGGGCGTGCATTGAATTTGGGTTTACCTTTTTAAGTTTCTTATTATGAGATGTTTTGTAATAAGAGATTAGTTTAGGGGGCATATTTTGTGACTCTCCAGTAAATGCACAAAAAAAAGAAAGTCTTTGAAAGCAGTCCCTCCTTTCCAAAACCTGAAATTCATTCCTAACAAAGCTTTCAATGGCCTCCAATCAGAAGAGCGTTGACTCGCTTGCCGATGCACCTGAACAACAAAAACGATTGGAAAAGCTGAATCAAAAACCTACCAGGAAGAAGCTTGATCCAACCTCCACTTGTGTTGATGCTGCTTTGGAGACTCTGTTGAATTGTGACCAACAGAAGCAATGGACTCCGATCAAAATGGGTTTTGATTTCTTCAAAACTTTCCTCACCTTCATCCCACATTGGAGCAGTAGTGGATTTCCTGACAAGGGTTCCGGTGTGCATTTCGGAGATCTTCTGTCCCGCATGGAAGATGCTTTTGAGAAGGCAGGATGGGAAATTGAAACTGCAATCAACAGGGGACAAACTGAGGATCTGGATGCTTTGCGTTCCAGCTTGCTTAAAAAGATTGAACTTTTCAAGCCAGAAGTTAGGGATGCTTATGTATTCCTGGCGGATTACGCATTTCGAACCACTGCTGCTGTTCCCGGTAATTTTGTCTGGACCCGATTGTATGGTTCTTTGCTTAGCAATTGTCAGAATCTTTATTCTGTAGGCAGTTTGAGTTTTCCTCTGTTAAAAAAATTCGAACAAATATCAAACATCTCCCACCTTGCTGAGGTAGTTTTCAGGTATCCCGACCAATTCAGCGACCTTTGCACTCAACACCGAGGTGTTGGCATCTGTATTGCAAGGCTCTTGTTTTTTCGTTGGGTAGAGGGAACCAATTGGGCAGAAGAAAAAATGGCCGTGGACGTGGAGCTGTCTGATCTTGTGCAGAGAATTAAGCCCATTACTCCATCAATTTTGGGCATGTACTTGAAAGCCATCGAATCCCAACCCTGTTCCCTCCAAAAAGCTCTTGTTGAGGAACTTGTGGAGATTACTCTGATCCTTGTTCCAGAAGATCAATCACTTGAAAAGCTCCGGGATTGCCTAGTTTTTCTCGTGAGTGACCTTGTGGAATCTTCCAACGAGCTCATTACAGAAGTTATTTGTAAAGCTGCATCTCTTGGTTACTCCTCTTCAAGTACAGCTCGAGCTAAGGGTTCTGATGATAATGCACTTGCACTTCCTCAGTTGCTTAGAGAAGCTGAGCTCCTCACGATAGGGATTCTTCTGACGGAGCTCGGAGAAAGCGACTCCATCTCCAAAACAAGGTTTGAAACCATTTGTGCAGGGGAAAGATTTCATGATGCTTACCTTGAGAAAATGATGCTGATTCTCCAACAGATAGAGACGTTGATCAGTGAAGGCAGCCTCAACGACGTCCCCGCTGCCGCCAAAGTGTCTATAGGTTTCTATCTCTCAGTGTTTCAGGCTTTCTTGGTGGAGCTAATGAGGGATAGTCCTGGTTTGGTTGTCCTTTTGAAGGACCATATTCAAAGGCTGAGCGAGGGATCAAAACTCTTTTACAAATATTCTTCAATACTTCCTTTGAAGAATCCAAATGATATGGTCTCGATTTCTACAGCAATGAATAAGGCTATTGAAGAGGCAGAAACTCTCCATGATTTTTGTCTTTCCCACCAGATTGTAGAACAAAACATCAAGCATATGTCAATGTTGCTCTCAAATTTCCTGAAGGCATTTAAACTTCTCAATGACAAGTTGAAAGGCACTTATCTACACTTTCGTAACTCTTTAAAGCTTTCCTTTCCGACGACTCTGCCTGGATTGGGTTTTGTTGATTCCTTGGTGGATAGGCTGTCAGAATTGGTCAAATACAGAAAGACAAATAACTGCCAAATTGAAGTATTATTAACACAGCTCAACTCTTTGAAACCTTACTTGAAGCGGGTTGGAGGAAAGCACAATGAGAATTTGGAGCTGATGAAAGATCTTCAAAGGGGTGTCATATGCGCAGCATACGAAGCTGATCACGTAATTGATTCAATTAATTTGCCTGATGCAGATGGTTGCCATCTATTATGGCTTTCTGATGTTATAGATGATGTGAAACTTGTTAAGGAGGAGTTGATCAAATATAACAACATGAACAAAGGCTTAGCTGAAGTGCAGAAGGCTGTCCAGACATCAGAGAACAGGACCATACAAAGTGACGCTCCAGAAGTTGGAGAGGTCATTGTTTCCTTGGATGATGAAGAAACGAGAATCATTGATCGGCTTAAAAATGGATCATCAGAGCGAGAGGTGGTGGGAATAGTTGGTATGCCCGGGATCGGGAAGACAACTCTAGCAAAGAAAGTGTATGATAATGATATAGTAAAGAAGCATTTTGAGAGATTTGCATGGTGCTGCATCTCTCAAGAATATCGAAGGAGAGAAGTGATGCTTAAGATGTTAAGTGACATTGCTAATACAATCAAACAGGTCCGTAATGAGAGCGATCAAAAACTGGTGGAGAAGCTGCAGAAGAGCCACGAAGAGACTGATCCCCAATTGCTCAACCTGTTGCGCCAGAGTTTGTTGGGAAAGAGGTACCTAATTGTGATGGATGACGTATGGGGAAAAGAAGCATGGGAGGATTTGATGAATGGATTTCCAAAAGAATCACGTGGAAGCAGGATCTTGTTCACCAGTCGCTCTAACAAAGGGCTCTTTAATCAGCAAGATTGTTTTCTTCATTGTCCTAGATTTCTGAAAGATGAAGAGAGTTGGAAGCTGTTACAGAAGAAAGTGTTTCGTGAAGGTAAATGCCCCTTGGACCTTATGCAAGTCGGTCGGGTGATTGCAGAACGTTGCCGAGGCCTACCTCTGGCAATTGTTGCCGTTGCAGGTCTCCTCAGCAGAACTGAGAGACAAGCTGATCGTTGGAATCAGATTAAAGAGCACCTGAAATCTCACATCCTTGATCCACAAACCCAGTGTGACCAGATCCTACAACTGAGCTACAATCACTTGCCAGATGACCTAAAACCATGTTTCCTTTACTTTGCAGCTTTTCGAGAGGATAATGAGGTTCCAGTTAAAAAGTTGGTAAGATTATGGATAGCGGAAGGTCTCATAAGGAAAGTTGATGACAAGGAGCTGGAGGATGTTGCAGGGGATTATGTGGAGGATCTCATTGGAAGAAGCTTGATAATGGCTGCCAGGAAAGGACCTGACAATAAGGCCAAGGCATGCAGGGTACATGATATGTTACACAGCTTGTGTTTGACAAAATCTAAGGAACAGAACTTTTTGAAGTGCATATCCAGGTCGTATGATGAACTTTATCCCAGTTATAAGGAAGACTACGGTTCTGAGCTGAAACCTAATTCAAAAGTAACACCATATTTGATACATCGACTGAGCATTTGTTCTAAGAGATATCAATTTGTCAACTTAGAGCCTTCTGGTCCACCAGTTCGTACTCTGTTGGTTTTCCCCACCAGTGACACATACCCAAGATGCGCTTATGATGTCTCCTTCATTCCTCGTAACTTCAAACTTCTTAGAGTTCTTGATATTGAGAGCATCAATCTGGGTACCTCTTTTCCTGAAGGAATACTGTCACTTGATCCATTGAGATACTTAGCCCTTAGTGGAGAAATCAAAGCTGTTCCTTCAACAATAGAGAAGCTCTGGAACTTAGAAACCTTTATCATCAAGGTATTCACGGTAAACACGCAATTACCTAACACAATCTGGAGCATGCCAAAGTTGCGGCATCTCCATGTGAACATAGGTGCCGTCTTCACTAACCTGCAAGAAGGTGGAAGTCAAGCAAGCTCTACTAGGTTGGATAATCTGTTGACCCTTTCCTCACCTGTTGTCTCGGATTTTAAGGAAATGGAGGAGATCATGAAAAAAGTTCCACAGCTCAAGAAACTGAGATGCACATTTTCCCCTGCTCAGTACTCCTCCGAGGACTGCAATATCAAAGTTCTAGTCCCGGACTTACTTGAAGGACTTGAGTCGCTCAAGATACTCTACAAGGGCACTTCCCGTCGTCCTTATGAGTTAAGCTTCCCATCTAATCTTAGGAAGTTGTCTCTCTCAGACTTCAGCTTGACATGGAGTTGCGTATCATCTATTGGAAAATTATCCCAGCTCGAGGTTCTGACATTGGTTTCCATATCCTTTGAGAGCCAGAAATGGGAAATGAGTGAGGATGACGAGTTCGAGGAACTTAAGGTTTTGAAATTAGACTCTTTGCAACTTGTTCAGTGGGAGGCGTCCCAAAATAACTTCCCTAGTCTCGAGCGACTAGTTCTGCGAAGCTGCAAGAATCTTCAGGAAGTCCCTCCTGATTTTGGCAAGATCACTACACTGCAGATGATTGAATTGATGTGGTGCAGCTCCGCTGCTGAAAATTCACTGGGAAAAATCAAGTACCAACAGGTGGAGGTAGTTCAAAACGAGGGGTTTAAGACCATTGTCAATGATCCAGCTGCCGCTTTCAGAACATATGTCTGATCGGCCGATCATCAACTTACGGTTCGCTGGTCCAACTTGTTCATTTCACATGTAAGAAGTCGAAGCTTTGATATTGTTCAGTTCAGTTGTTACATATTTGTTCATGTTTACAGAGTAAAACAGAATTTTAATATATCGTTCAAATGCATCAGCTCCTTTCTATGATTTTGATGAAGACTGAGTGGTAACTTGACCAATATAAAGCAATTACCTCAAACTTATCTGTGTTTAATTTATGCTTGCGTTTTTTATGGTTAACCTGTACAGGTCTCATCTCACAGAGAATCGGTAAGCACTTGGAAAGCAAGGGCGATCGAGGCGGGATTCCATTAGGCGATGCTCTTTGCTGCTGAATGGTTTTCTGGTCAGAATTTCTGACTTTTAGAGATCTTCCACTGTCTAAGCCTCTGATATTGACACACATCCAGTGGTTCAAAGCTCCAACTTTTTGAATGTGTTTCTCTTTGTCAACTCAAACAGTTACCTGATGTGGGTTTCCGGTAGTTAGATCTTGTTTTTAAGTGCAAGACATTTTGTTTCTGAATTCCAAATCCACGTCAGCTAACTAACCTGATCAACACTGTACGATGACTGTTTTCAAAAAAAAAAAAAAAAACAAAACAATGATTTTTGAATATTTACAAATTGACCTCAGAAAAGCAACTAAGGTAGACCTTCAAATATGTACTTGATCTGCATCACTTCGATCCTTGATCTCTAAAATGGATGGTGTGGGCAGAGGTCTTCTCAGCTAAAATCATTTATCTCTAAGTACCACATAAATTCAGAGTCCAAATTATATGCCTTAATGAACATAATTAGGTTGGTTTCTGTTTACTAAATTTCTGTTTAATAAAAATAATTATTAAAAAAAAAAAAAAAGAACGAGTAAGTCTATGTTAGCACTCATCTTTGGATTTTGAATTTTTTGGCGTTGCTCTTTACAGCAAGATGTTTCAACCTTGGCTTTTTTGGGATTTTTTCAATGTGCTGTTCGTACTTGTTCAAGACTTTGTTGCTGATCAACTTGTATTTTGAGTGAAAATGAAATGGGCGTGTCTTCAATCTTCATCTATTAGTGTAGGAGTAACTGGAAGCCTGGAATAATGAAATCATACAATCAAACGTCTGGTTAATTTGTTGAGCATGATGCGCAAATTTTAACAAAAAACTGATTGGTTGTTTTTCAACTCTCTTTCTTTGGATAATTCAGCACTTTCTTTGGCTACGGCAAATAGTTTAATGACCAATCAGTATTAAATTTCCACCGACAAAAGAATTCGCCTCTTTATTGGTCCGATGGAATGGATAGTCCAGTGGTTCTTCTAAGAATTCATCCTCAAGCTGCCAAAAATATAGACGTTTGAGATGTTCAGTGTTGCACATTTAGTTCTTTGTTTTGTATAGTGTTGGGGAATGGGGATAGATTGAACCGGATATAATGTAGATTTCTTTTGTCATGCAGATAGTTTTGTGAGTGAAGTTGGGGGAAGATCATGGCCTCCGGTTTTCAGATTCAGGGGGATGAATTGGTTCTTTTACGTGTAACTCATTCCAACATCAAGAGCTTTTCTGCTCATATGCAGTTCTCTCTCCAGGTAAATTCCAGCCCTCCACTTTCAATGGCTTCTAAGTCTTATGCTTACTTTCTATTTAGTGAAGTTTCATAGGGTGTTCAACTCTTTTGGAAATGTTAGTTGAACTCATGGCTTCTCAATCTCATACGTGAATCTTTTACTCGTAATTGGGAGCTGGAATTAATCATTAATCTTTGAGGTTAGTCTGTCAACTGCATTTGAGATAATCACGTAGTTTACCTCTAATTTTGTAAATACTTTTTCTTTTAACCTCCAATGATGGGTTTTTCTGTGTGGTGAAATAAAGAAGGAATACCTACTTGGTGATCAAGGTTCTTTTAAAATGTATCAAAACCATGAAAATGGTCTCATATACTTAGTGGGCTTTGGTTGCGATTGGATAATTTGCTTACTGTTGTGGTGTTCATGAGAGGTCTTCCTTCTTATCCTCAGATGTCTGTGGAAGCAGTAAAAGATAAATTGTGGAAGAAGTGCGGTACTTCTGTTAATTCAATGAGCCTTCTCTTTGATGATACTGGTGCTAAAATTGCTGATATCAGTTAACATGAGACCTTTGGGATTTTATTCCCCACTGGATGAGTTAGTTTTCTCTTTACAATCTGTTTCTATTTCCTAATCTCAAATTTTATATTACCGATTGTCTTTACCAATGAGCTGCATATAGAAGCATAGTCCTTACTCCCATGAAATTTAACTTTTTGGTTTATAAAAATTTCATTGCAGAAGGTAACATGCCTTTGTTGTTTTTTTTTTGAAGGTAATTGCAACTTCAATTCTTCCTGATCAATATTGTTGTCTGAAATTTGCAGGAGAGCTGTCCAGCATTGATGAAAAGAAGTACAAGGCTTTAAAGAGGGCAACCGAGAGGGAGACTTCTCAGAGTGCTGATGTCTTTTGTTGTACTTGTGTTGGTGCAGGAGATCCTCGACTAGCTAAGTTTAGATTTCGTCAGGTGGGATGCATGAACGGATTTGTTCTGTATGACTATGCTGTCTGAAGTTCTTTATTCCCATTTTAGACAGATCTTTTCTTATCTCATTCTCCACTGAAAGACTTCCTTTTCCTTTCTTCTTTAGATTGACGAATCTACTCAAGCAACTGAGTCCGAGTGTCTTATTCCTCTGGTTCTTGGTGTGAAGCAGGTATTAAGTTTTCCATTGACTCTTTTGCCGAGTATTGTGGTTGATTGAGGATCTTTGATGCCTTGTAGAAAACGTAAAGACTTGTTCTTTGACCTTCTCCAATTTTGCCAAAAACTTGTCTATTTCCTAGCTTTTATTTGCACTACCCCATTCCGGATTTTCTATTCATTATGATATTGCACACGTTATACACTGTTTTGATATGTATCAAATGTTATTCTGTTCATTACGTATCAGTGAATAAATATTCCACAACTGAGTTTTACATTGTAAACAAAAACTGGTCGCGCAATGCTGTTTTTGTATCAAACTGATATCGAAGCTAAAAGATCAGCTTCTGATATGCTGAGTTCTATATGCTGTTTTTGTTAACACGTGATATTGAGCAGGTCTCAATGTTTTCAACATTCTGCTGATTGTTCAGTTTTTTTTTTTTTTGTTTTTTGTTGTAAATTGTATATAATTGCATATAGTGAACTGTCACTTAATTTTTAGGTTATTGAATCTTCTTAATCTTGTTCTTTTCTTTTTTTTGGTTCACTATTTTACTTAATTCGGTGAGTTGTTGACATTTTTCACAACTGGTTTTTGGTTATTAGTTGGCATTTTCCTGAATCGAGTTTCTAAAAGATCAGCTCCAGGTTTTTTGTTTTCTCTCTAAAATTAGAGAATTGACTTGGCACTTGGTAGCATTAATAGAGGATTGATTGGTCTGTTGATGCATATCCGATTGTTGTTGTAATCTGAAGCTAGCTAGACCTAACTACTTGTGTACTCTTGTTAAATATAAATGTGCTAACCTCTATTTCATTTTAGCTGCTGTTTATCCTAGCCAAATATGCTTAGAGATAGGGAGCCTCCAAGCTTCTTTCCTCAGGTTGCCCCATGTGAATCATTCAAGGTTGTTTAGGCTCACAGTTTATTCAAAGTAAGGTGAATGCAAGGAATCGAAAGGACATGAGATATTTTATGCTCTTTATTGGCATATTCTAATTTCGTTGTACTGGATTCCGTCACATGACGCTTACTTTATTGGACAAGAGAGCTAGAAATAAAGGCTTAGGATTTGGTTATCCATTAGTTAGGAACTGATGATCTTGGCTATTTTCTCTTTAAATTCTGGTACTGGATGTAGGCAGGAGGCGTATGATGTTAAAATTGATAGTATGCTCCTTTACAGCATCAGTAGTGTGGTGCATATTGCAAGTATTGATTGTTAAGCCAAATTTGATGCATTAGTAGCCCTGAGGTCCTGTGATAACCCTCCCATTTGCCTATGAATTAGAATAGTTGTGTCAGCTCAGAGATTTCAGATGCTTTTGAGTGATCGCGTCCTTGGTTTTTACATGATTCCAGATAATGATCCATGGAGTTATAACTTTCTCGGTGTGAAGCGTAGTGCGAGCAAGCAATATGAGGAGAAGCTGGGGAATCCAAAGGATTACTATCGTGAAGATCATCGGCCAACACATTTCTTGAGCTTCAACTACCTGGAAGAGGGTGAGAGTGCAGAAGGTGAATAGCTTTTCGGTAGACCTCTAAAGCTTGCCTGATTCCGTTATCCAGGCTTATGGGGAATTGGGTATGTGAAGGATCTCTATGTTTCGCGACTCTTAACAAGGGATCTTTGAATTTTGTCACTTTTTTCACTAACTGGTTTGTGTTAAATGCTCAGTTTATGTGATGTAATCTGATTTTGATTCCAGTGGTTGACAAGATAAATCAAGGGAACTTCTAAATAAATTGGAATTTCTCGGCTATGTATAAGGTGAGGTATATGGTTTATCTCTGCTGTTGGCCCAGTTTATACTTAAACACACTGTGTAAGTTTTCAACTTTGGGGAGATATTTGTGATTCTCTCTTTGGTGATCTGTGCACGGGGGAAATTAAACTTTTATTAATTCACCATTTGGCATTTGGATGACATTAAATTTTAATGATTTGTATCTTACTGTTTCAGTTTTCATTGGCACGTTAATTATACTTATACATTTTATTTCTCAAATGTGAAAGTTGGAATAATTGTAAATTATTTGAGAGTGAAACACTTGCAAATGATGATATGAAGCAAAAGAGTACATTTTGCAGATGCCATGCCTCTGATTGTCCTCAAGATATTAATTTAGTAATTTTACCCAACATAGGTAATGACTTCCAGTTTTGCTGGTCTGTAAACTAACATCAGTTCTCAAGATCTCTGTGATCATCGATTGTCCTCCTCTCTAAGGTGAAGGGTTAAAAGGCTAGACCGAAATGTTTTCAATGAACAGCAAAGTTTGCAATCTTCACAGGGTACACATGAACCCGATCAGACCCGGCGTTTCTTACTTTTGGGTTAAATTCTGAGATGCATTTCCAAACTGCACTATTACATTTAAATCCACTGCCAAAAGAAATTTGCCAAATTCAATCTCCCTATTTTACCTTACCTTTAAGCCTCCAAATAGCATAACTCATAACAGACTGAAAAAGACCGAACCTGTGTAAAGTCTTCCTGGATGATTCTCCATCTTCCTTGCTTAGGCCAAGTTTTTCCTCAATTGCATCGATGACTGTCCTTCCTCCAGCATGTATACAAAAATGCCCAAAGGCCTTTATAAAATCAGGAAGATATAATTTTCCTACCACCATGCGATATTTTCGTATTGATGATGGACCACAGATGCTGAAGTTGTTCTGAATATGGACGAACAATGGTCCTAAATCTGTTATGTTTATCTTGGAAAACAACCCTCAATTAATGTATTTTATGCACTACAATGAGGGTCGGTTAAATCTTTCTCAGTTTAAAGTTTACTTTTGATGTTCTCCCGATTCTCTTAATGTTGAAGAGAAACACATCCGTTACTAGGAAACTTACAAAGCTAATGAATGATGAAGGTAATGCTACTTTCCTTACGAATTACACTGGAGGGAGGAAGTGAATTTGTGTCTTTGTGAACTAAAAGGGACAAAGGATTGATTTGGAGAAGGATGACATGCTTAATGATCAGTCGGATTGGTTACGGACGATGATCGGCAAAATTATCGGTCAAAAAATGACAGATTCGTCGGTGAAAATTGATCGGGGTGAAGGAGGCCGTCGCTGCGTCTGCGCAGTTACGGCCAAAAAAAAAAGGAAGAGGAAAGAAATAACTAAATCTTAACATTTCGGCTTATATATTTATTTTAAAAATAAATTAAATAAAAATTAATTCGGGTATCGGGCAGTGCTCGAAAAATATTATTTACACCCGCACCCGAACCGCAAACTATATGTGGTTGAACGGTTGAACCTGTATTACCCGAATTAAATCGATTAACCGACTCGCATCTTCTCAATCGGGTTCCGTGCAGGTGGGTAATCGGTTTGACTCGCTAACTGATAGGCCTATTAGTGGAGTTGAATTAGATTATGCCTATCACCAACAAATAATCGAAGAGGAAAAGCAATTTTTTTAAGGCCTTCTCTATTCGTTAAGAAATAAAATGGCTATAAACGTATACGTGCGATACATATAAGTATGCATTGTAAGCATTGAACTGAGGATGCTCCTTTCGGAATAATAAATTTTTACATTTTCATAAATTCAGTGACGTTTCATTGTGAGAGTCTGAACCATCCAAATGATAATCATTTATATATGATTTAATTCCATCTCAAAACCACATAGTGCATATTACTATACTTCGATTTGGGAGAGGCATCTTTCACTTCCTCATCATAGGATCATGACTGCTATTTCAGTAACATGATTTTTTCAATCGAAAATTCAACTAGATTGCATATTTCAGTAAGATGGTGGGTGTTATGATTCAATACTATTCTTGTCCCTAAAAAAAATACTCCACATAACATACAAAATACAGATGAATAACAAAATAAAAAACATTTCATCTCAAATTGTTATACAAAATAAATTTTGTTTATAAAATTATTAATAAAAAAATTTATCTATAATATAACACAAATACAAACTGGTCGCGCAAACTACAAGCAAACTAGTTATTATAATAATAATTATTATTATTATATATTTTTGGCTCTTCACCAAATACGGTTGACAGCTTCTTCTACGCTCTGGTTGACGGTACCATTGCAAGCTTCTCTCTTTAGTGCTTCCCAAACTGAAACCAGAAATTGATCCCTCAATTCATATTACCTTGGTCTTCCTTGGCGACAAAAAATGGACATCCGCGGGTTATCTTTGGATGTTAGGAACGTGCTCAAGCAGGCCAGTCTTGTCAGGAATGAGAATAACGGCAGAGCACACAAATTTGACCTTGCGATTTTGTTTGGGAGGATTTGGTTTCTTAAAGCTGAGATCTTTGTCCATCGGATCGGCACCCCCTTCAATACATCTACATCTGTTGAGGACTTCATTAGATTCCTTAATGAGGGATCTAGATTTCTGCTCAAATCATTTGGTGGGCAGTCGGAGGAGAAGTCAGAAATCCAAACCTTGAAGCTCGTTGAAAGAATCCCTGGGATGGTGAAATTTCACTTCCCGGGAAACAGGGCAAGGGACTTGCTCTATGGGTTCCTTGTACAGCTCAAGCTCTTCAAGGCAGATCTGCTCTTATCGGGGGAATTAGAATTACAGAGTGATAAGGAAGTTAGCCATTTGAAGAAGAAAATTGGGATTCTTAAGGAGGGGTTGATCCTCTTGATCAAATCAGATGTTAATCAGCCAAACAAAGAGGAGTATACAGAGGATGAGAAGCAGATCTTGGCAGATATTGAAGGACTGGCTGCTGGTGTTACATTTCTGTGTGATTCCTGTCCTGCTGACAGTATGGAACTTCAACTTTCCAATTTGCAGGGAAAACTTCAGCTTCTGAAATTAAAGCTCAAAGATCTTTACTTTCAAAATCCAGGGTCAAATTTCCCCAAAACTCCCGGGTTGGGTCCCGTCAACTCCCTCTTGCAAAAACTTGAACAGTTGCCCATCCACAAGCATGAATCTGTGGCATGTTCAGCCTATCAAATTGAAGCAATTCATAGGGATTTGGAGTTCATAGTTGGGAATCAGATTCGCACGGATACTGCCCGGCTTGTTGAAGTAGCTTACCAGGTGCATCATGTTATCGACTCAATGTTGAGTGGTAGTGATCGGGAGTCCCAACAGATGCTTTGGCTTTTTCATTTGTCTGAGCAGATTGTAGCCCTTAAAATGCTGCAGCATCCAATCGACCATCAAGCAAAAACCACCAATGATGTTGAACCCCGAAGAGATTCATGTGAACCACATGGGTAAGCTCTGTACCGACAAAATACTCTTGATTTTAGTTACTTTTCCAACAAAATCAATGTGGAGCGAAAAAATTAGTTCCTCTAGTTTTTTGAGTGTATAATATACGCAATGTTCTAAGTTTTGCTTTCGAATCGCTTCAACAGGTTGAGGCCGTCTTTAATACCAAAGATGAATCCCCAAAGCACGGAGGAATTCATGGTGGGTTTCGACCATGATAAAGCCGTTATACTTGAAAGGCTAATGAGAGGAGGATCGGAGCTTGAAATCGTCTCTATCACTGGAGAGCCAGGTATAGGCAAGACCACTTTAGCTTGTGATGTATTCCGCAACCCCAGTATTATGAGACACTTCCATGTTCGTATTTGGTGCGGACTTTCTTTACGACGTAGTAATAGAGACTTACTGCATCACATGTTAAGTCAAATTTCCAAGGAGGATATGAATGGGGATGGAGATGAAGATCTAAGTCAGTTGTTGTCGAAACCCTTGAAAGGGAAAAGGTACCTGATCGTTTTGGACGATGTGCTGAGTACCGAAGCCTGGAGTGATTTGTGGAATTCCTTTCCAGACCACTCCTGTGGTAGTAGAATTCTGATGACCAGTCGTTTTTCTAATGTTCTTCCGAATCCTTATTTCCTTTGTGGACTCTCTGATCATGAAAGGGGGAAGTTGACAAAGACGGACACATTTTCTAGGGGCGAGTGCCCTAAAGAACTTTCAGAAACTGGACGGCAAATTGATAAAACTCACCTTGCTATGTCAGAAAGTTGTGAGCGGAAAGAAGTTGAAAGAAACTCACAGATACATTACGCTCCCCAGCAATTGCTTGATCATTCGCATGATGTTGAAGAGTAAGACACCTACAAAGTATTGATTTGATCACTTTTTTTAATGAAACTACCGCGGAACAATTCCCTATTTACCTCGAAATGATAATAATTACTTTTAATAATGAAATGAAAATAATTACTTGTAATAATTTTTTTATGGTGTAATGTAAATACTGCAACAGGTTGAGACAATCGGTCCAGCTTCTTCCGCAGAGGACTAATCATTTTATGGTGGGTTTTGAAAGCGAAAAATCAGATATACTTGATCGGCTTACGAGAGGAACATCACGTTTAGAAGTTGTCTGTATCACTGGAATGCCGGGCATTGGGAAGACCACTATGGCTGAATATGTGTTCTTCAGTCCTCTAGTTAGGGACCACTTTCATCATCTTGTTTGGTGCCATGTTTCTCAAAATTACAGGATGAGGGAATTAGTACTTCACATGTCAAAACAGGTCTGCCATTGGGATGATACCCTGGAATGGGATGAAATGGATATAGCTTGTTTGTGGAGGAACTTGAGAAGAAAAAGATACCTGATTATTTTGGATGATGTATGGAGTGCTGAAGCCTGGAAAAATTTGCAGAGTGCATTCCCAGATGATTTATGCGGCAGTAGAATTCTGATGACTAGTCGTCTTTATAATGTTGTTCCAAATCCTTATACTCTTGGTGGATTATCTGATGATGAAAGTTGGGAATTGCTAAAGGCCAAGATATTTGGTCATGGATGGTGCCCTGAAGATTTGTTGGAAACCGGATTGCAAATTGCTAAAATTTGCAAAGGACTACCGCTAGCCGTTGTTGCAGTCGCTGATCTCCTTGCTAAGTCAGATAAGTACGCATGGGAAGAAATTGCAAAGACTGAGAGTCCGCGGATACTGAATGATCTGGTGACACAAAATATGGGCATCTTTGATTCAAGCTACCAACATCTTCCAGATCATTTAAAAGAGTGCTTCCTTTATTTTGGAGTATGTCCTAAGGATGAGGAAATTTCAGTTGGAAAGTTAATAAGCTTATGGATTGGCGAAGGGTTTGTGCATGATGTGCAGTCCAAGAGCTTGGAAGACGTTGCAGAAGAGTATCTGATGAATCTGATGGAGAGAAGCTTGGTTATAGCTACCAAGAAATCATCTAACGGTAAGGTAAAAAGATGTCGAGTACACGGTCAGGTACTTGATTACTGTTTGTTAAAAGCCAAAGCTGCCAAATTTATGCAGCCGATATCAGGTACACCTTCTTATGATTCGCATGGTGGTTTTAACTATGAGCATCGTCATTCTTCAGATTTCGCGAACTCTGACCAGTATCGACTTCCAATACATGGCGATCCAGAACAATTTTTTGTATCGAAGCCTCGTGGCCCGTCTACTCGATCTATTCTGTTCTTTCCCACAACAGAAATGTATGCAGGGTGCCCCAGTGATGTATCATTCATCTTCAACAACTTTAAACTTCTTTACGTTTTGGATTTGGAATTCATCAACGTTGGTAATTCACTGGAACATGGAATTGATTCACTAGTTCATTTGTGCTATTTGGCAATAGGTGGAGATTCGGACTCGGTTCCATCATCTTTGTCCAAACTGCAGAATCTGGGAACTTTAGTTGTGAGGGGTTTAATGAATAAATTTTTCCTACCCGGTTCTGTTTGGGGGATGCCAAGGTTACGAAACATTCACATTATCAATCACTGCATTTTCACTTTGCAGGATGGCCAAAATGGGGACGAATCCTCTGAGTTAAAAAGCTTAATGTCACTTTCCATGCCATCATTTCCATGTGTGGAGGAAACGAATAGCATCATAAAGAGGTTCCCCAATCTTAGGAAGTTGAAATGCATATTTCTAGAACCAAGAGCTGGTTCTGCTGCGGTAAGCAGCTTCCCTGGATTGCAAAATCTGAATCAGTTGGAGTGCCTCAAGATATCATACTCTGGCAGGGCTCTCCACAATGTTGGGTGGAACTTGCCCATAAGTCTGAAGAAGCTGACTCTCTCAAATTTCCGCTTGCCTTGGACTAATATTTCAGAAATTGGGGAGCTACCCAACCTTGAGGTCCTCAAATTGGTTTTCAGAGCCTTTCAGGGGCCAAGGTGGGAAATGGCAGAGGAGAAATACTTTCCTAAACTCGTATACTTGAAATTAGATTCCCTAGACATTGTCCACTGGGAAGCCGACATAGCTTATTATCCCTTTCCCTGTCTGGAGCAGCTGATATTGCAAAATTGCAAGCAGCTTAAGGAGCTTCCTTCTTGCTTCGAGGAAATCTCCACCTTGCAGAGAATTGAAGTTCGCCGCTGTGGAATTTCTGCCAAAGATTCTGTCCGAAGAATTGTTGAGACACAGGCAGATTACGGCAACGAGCTTATCACCAACTTGCGCTCTTGATTGCGGATGGATGTCCCTTCTCTATTCACAAGTAAGTACTACATTCAAACCGGATTGATCAGTCAGTTTCCAAAACAAATGTTGCTATTTTGCCACTTCTTACTCTAAAATAAAACTACAGATGGTGCTTGAATTAATGTCGTAGGTACAAGATTCGGGTGTATGATCCAGCAAACACTTTTTTGATTACGTTGAATCTATGCGTCTCCTTGTGGTACTGTGTCTTGATCACTATCTTTTCTTTTTCATCTGCAAGATAGCCCCTTTCCACCTATGGCATCGACATCAATCTTTCTGACGTCAGTTACACAACTGCAATCTGATGGAAGGAAAACAAAGAAGGTTGGAATAAGCCATGAGATTTGGGGTAGCTTCACAAATCCTAGCAGGAGAAAATTCCTGCCGTTGGAATTCAAACGTCCTCTATTGTTGTAGCAATTATATATATGTTCCTTTTGGATTTTCTTTTACTTCTTGACGATATTTGGCTTTGGTAGGAACCAAATAATTTCTGGCTCCATTTCAAAACGATTTTCCGATTTAAAACATAAAGAGTTGGCGATTTTGATTCCCTCTACATACTAATTGTTAGATGTTTATACACTAATTCAACACACACACACATATGAATAAGATGTAAAACAACCAAGCAAGCACAAAATACACAATTTACATGATTCAGTCTCTCAATAGACCTACATCTACGGGGAGTCAATACTTCACTAATGTAGAAAATAGAAGAGTTTTACAAGTGTGTTCTTCCTCATAACACACAAGTCTCATAATATTCAATTTTACAAACTACACTCTCACTATATGTTGCCTCTCTCTCACACACACACTACATTTTAGCACAAACACTCGTATTTATACTAAAACATTAGAAATCCTATTGGGCTCAATCCTAACTCTTTTAATTCACTTCAAGATAGGTTTGGGCTTAGACTTTGAGGAGTTGGCCCAACACATACTAATGCTGGTTACATCCATGTTGTCAACATTTTATTGATTTAATAAGATTCAAAATTTTGTGATTTATATTTGTAATTAAATTATTTGTGAAAGATTGGGGAAGTCTCAGAGAACGGTAGCTTTAGTTTCAACCTTCTCTTCATTCCTCCTAATTCAAAAATCATTTGATCGATCATTCTCTAGTTTAAATGCAAATGTTAGTCGCCTTGCCAAAGTAAACCTCTTGATTTGATTTTTAGTTTCTTATTTAAGAGATCAATGATCCAAATCCGAAATGGATTAGTCTTACTCTCTACGCGGGTAGCATTTAACTTATACCGATGCGTAAATTGTTAAAAACTCAAAATTTTCTTAAGAAAAATATTGGTATACCATATTATCATCTGATCATTCTCTCATTTGAATGCAAATGTTAGTCGATATAACAAAGTAGGACACTTGATCTAGGTCTTAGTTTTTAGGGCTACTAGTTAATCGGCTCTACCCGACAAATCTGCTCGACCTGAAATAATTTCGGACAAAACGGGTCGGCTAATCGGTTTAATTGGGGAATTTCGGTTCCACCCGATTAACCGATTAGCTTATACGGTTCTAGAGCGCTTTTCAGAAATATTTTTTGGCACTACCCGATTTATCCATATAACTTTTTTTATTTACATATATATAGCGATGTTCCCCCACTTTCAGATTTTTCTTTCTTCTCACTTTGTCGTTCACCGCCGCTCTGCCTCGGCGCCTCTTCCATGGCTCCACCTCCCCCTTCACAGTTCACAGTGCACACCTACACAATCGAGTAATCCATCAATTCTATCACCAATCCGAGTATCCAACCTAGTGAAAAAGATGAACCCTTTTCAGATCTAATTAATTTTTTCTCAAAATCAAAACCCAAAGGGGAACATCTAAACCTTTGTTGCTTCGTTGTTCTTCATAGAGGATTGAGGAAGGGTAAGATTGGCGCCGCCGTATTATTACTTGGAAGAAAGAAAGAAAGGAAGGAAGAAGAAAGAGAAAGGAAAAGATTTCAGATTTGGATCCGTGTAAGAAAAGATGTTTTGTGCATACTTGATGGATGTCAAACCAACAATTATTAACCTACTCTAAAACGTAATATAACGAAAGTAGGGTCGAATCCCACAGGGAGGTAAGTAAATATCAAGTTTCTCAAACAGGAACCGAAACCAAAGAGAAATGATTTAACAATGAAAATAAATTCCTAAAACTATAATGGTGATGAAAAGATTAACTCAAGAAAAGGATTCAACTGTTATTTCCACTTCAATTGCTAACTTGTTATTAAACTAACAATGATGACAAATGATGGTCGGATCTCCTAGTTGTTTCCCTAAGCTCCTTCCGAAATCATAAGGGTATCCTTACAATTAATCACAAGTCTATATTCCTATGGTTGCATTTAATTGTAGAGTCATTAAATCCAGATATCTCATATGGCCAACCATACTTTACCGGTATATTCTTTCCGGTAAGGAACCCTAAACTTTTACGTTTAAGTCATGGCCTATTTCAACAGAGCTAAATCTAACATCTTATTCTTAAGTATGCAAGATTCATAACACAAGCAAATATGTGACCAAAATAATTGCCGGAAAATTATAATGGAAGAAATAGCCATTAGAATCACCAATGGAGTAAAATAAATTATTAAAAAACATTCATGTATTCTAACAGTCAAAAACTAAATTACACAAACATAATTAAATTAAAATATATGAATAACGGGTTGTAGGAGCAGCAGCAAGGGGCTGCCGCCCCTTCTCCTTTGTTGTGCGCAGCCGAAGGGCACACGAACTGGAACTCCACGTTGCTGCGATGCTGCTCATGGCTGAACTCCACTCCGCCGAACTCCTTTCTTCTTTTCTTAAGTTTTTGGCTTTTTATAGTAGAGGATTAGGGCTGCCAAAACTAGTGACAAAAATTGGGATTTTTACTTCCATACGGGCCCACGCAAGTTTGGACAAAAACTTCCCAACTTCACTCTTTTCTTCTCGGCCAAACTGGGAGTTAAGTGCTGGAATTGCACTTTTGGTCCTTCAACCCTTTACTTCTCCAATTTCTTCCTCTTCAATCTTCACTTCTTCACTTGAGTCCTCAACCTTTAGTTTCTTCTTCAATTTAATCCAATTTAGTCTCATTTGACTTCAATCATCATCAATATTCTAAATCCTGCAAATAAAGATTTATTAGGTAAAATTTTCTTTAAAAAATATTAAAATAGCACAAAATCTTAAGGGAAAGACTATAAAAATATATGTAAATATTTGACTCATCAAACTCCCCCAAACTTAAGATTTTGCTTGTCCTCAAGCAAACAAATTCAAAACTCATTTTATTAGACAAAAACATGCAAAAGCAGCAAAGAGAATTGCCAAACTTGTCTCATATTCAAGTCTCATTAAAGACAGGTTATGTACACCACAGTTCAGTACAACTTAAGCAAGTCTGAAACTCACTTCCTTAAGTGTCTGAAACAGACCACATAACAAAGTGTTGCTTAACCTACTATCCATTGTAAGATTAGGTTCAATTCATTTCATGTGGACATTCTTGTGATCAGTACCTATTTCCTTTTTGCCTTTAACTAGGGTATTCTTACTGATTTTTAAAACTAAGGGCTTCCTCTCATTTCTGCAAACATCAATGGTTGCATCTTTTCACCCTTGTACCTTTTCCACCTTGGTCCAATTGGCTTTTCTTCGGAATCTTTCCCACTCAGGCCTTTACTAATTACATTGTTTAGCAGCTAAGGTAATCTAAGCATTTAAACTTTTTTTTTTAACTCACCATGCCTGAGGACACTCCTCTCTTTAGTGCCATATCTCACCTCTCAAGGGATCAAATGCCACATTGGACACTCTGCCTTTACTCCCTCATTAGATAAAACACTTAACCTCATATTCTGCCGCCAACTTCCCCTTTCCCAAGGTATTTAGGCTAATACAAACCACTATGGGCTCGATTCGAGACTGCCATAATGCGTAGGGCTGCCTTAGTCTAACTCTCAAATTTACAGCCCCCCTAGGTTTCAGACAAGTGGACTCCAATATAAGATCACAACAATGCATTACGCATTCAAGATTTTAAAAGTTTAAGCCCAAAGCAACACATTGTCACGTAGAATGTTGTGCATAAGGATGTGGTCATGAGTTTCTAACGTTGCCTAACAGTGATCCTGAACAGGTGTTTCTACAGTCATATGTAACCCTCAATATTGAATTCATCATAGATTATTGACAATTCTCAAAGCATGCAATTTAACTTGAATTTATTGAAAACATTTTTTTTTTCAAAACAATTTTTTGATTTTTTTTTAAAAATAAGAGTTTGAACCGAATACTTGAGGACATATGCACTACTACCCAAAACATGAGCTATTCTCTCCCCCAAACTTAAAATGGACATTGCCCTCAATGGACACACATAAACACATAGGGAAAGAAAATACCTAGGAAACACATGGCATAGTACATAAAAGATTAGCCACAAACACAAATAACATCATGCAAAGATGATCAACAAAAAACATGGCACGACACTACTTCCCCCAAACTTAAACATGACAATGTCTTCATAAAATCAAGAAAATACAAAACTCAAAGAAAGTGCAAAAATAATAATAAAAAAATAGAAACACTTCCCTATTTAGAATACATGCCAATCCGCACTTGAAAACCTTGCTTGTTGTGATTGTATAACCCAGCACAGCTACCCTCGGTACAACACACGATACAAGGGTTCATGACGTCCTTGTTACGGCCAACTGACGTTGTAACTGTCAACAATAAAGAACACACAACAAAGGTCTCTCTCGAGCACCAAGGATTAGCATTTAAGCACAGACTAAAGATAATAAAAATTAAGCTCAACAAGTTCCTTGGCGTACATAAAATTTATACATATAGACCATATAAAACAAGTAACACAAAACACCATAGTTCCAAAAATAAAATTCAAATTAAAGACCAAAACTCATAAAGGAACTAGGCAATTCAAATTCCATCACTCAAACTGATTTTGAAAATTATCACAAGATTGCTTGAAGGAATCAATGCTCAAAAAGATAATTAAAATCTAAATCCAGACTAAAGACAAGCAATTAAATATTAAGCACACAAATTTTCAAAACCAAAGCATCACACACTTCATAAAACCTTCAAGGGAATTAGCATTCACTTACAAATACAAGTAACATCAATTAAAAGATAAAAGAAAAAGACTTCCCCAACTCAAAGGAAAGTTCGGTCAAAAGAAGAGACAAGTGAAAATTTTCAGCACCAAGGTATGTTCAGACCCACTCCGTAGAGTGATAGTAGTCGCTCTGCGGAGTGCCTCAGTATTACGTCACTGTGCTTCAAACCACTCTGTAGAGTGAGATGGGTCACTCCGTGGAGTGATTCAGAGATGAAAAGTAACCGAGAGTTATAATTTTTCTTTCTGCACCACTCTATAGAGCGACGGAGCACTCTATGGAGTGAAAAGTGAATTTTTTAGACCACTCTGCAGAGTGATGGAGGCCACTCTATAGAGCGATTCAGATTTATAGACAACCGAGACCAATGCCTTCTAAGACGTGATCACGCTTATAATAACACTTCTTTCACTCAAACCATTCCATAAAATGAACATTGACACTCATTAGAGTCCTCTGGTCTGCTTTTCCTTGGACAGAGTCTGCAAAACACACAACAAAGAAATCATTTATTATATGGATAAAATGCAAAAAGAAAACATGAAGAAAAATTAAAGGAAAAGAAAGAAAAAAAAATGCAAGAGTTTCTAATAATGGGGCCTCATGTGATCATGCCACTCGGAATAACCATCCCGATACCACAAGAATGTGTCATCTAGTCTCCTATCATGCCTCCAGGAAGCATTTTCTTCAAAAATATCCATTATCCAACATACAAGGAAATCAACTCTTCTCCACTTTTCCAACTTCTTGGGGATTCTCTTAGTTTGGAATTGATTAAAATCAATGAACTCTTCTTGTAATCCCCAATAAAATTCACCTTCTCCACCAATGATGTTCTGACCCATGGTAACACTTAACTCTTCTTGAATCATCAATGCATCTTGAACGGCCGAGTCTATGTGCTCTAACTCATCAACAAGTGGTGTGATTACTTGACAATGAACCAAACTTGAATTTCTCTCAACTAGGACATCTTCTACAATAACCTCTTCAAGTTGTGGTGTCTCGTCAACTTCTTCTTCCACTATGCTATCTACTTCCTCCATAGGCAAGACCATTTCATCATGATTTTTCTCTTCCTTGCATTCGATAAGATCAACCATTATTTGGAGCTCTACACTCATAGCATCATAACTTTTTGTCACTTGAAGAACGATTTGAGTGAGCTCCTCATTCTCTTTTCTTTGCTTCTCTTGGGATATTAGTTCATGAAGGGATGTACTGGAGTTGTAGTAATCCTGTTCATAAGAATCAAGACAATTATTAGTATAATTAGGATTAAAACCATAAAAAGATGAATTTTGTTGGTAACCACCCCAACTATTGAAATTGGAACAATTATTTAGATAATAAAGATCTCCTGGATATGAAGAATAATTTTCCATGATAAGCTCAAATATTGGCACACTTTCTTTCAAACCTGACATTTAACTATTGACTCCCCGGCAACGGCGCCAAAATTGATGGGTGTCAAACCAACAATTATTAACCTACTCTAAAACGTAATATAGTGGAAGTAGGGTCGAATCCTATTGGGAGGTAAGTAAATATCAAGTTTCTCAAACAGGAACCGAAACCAAAGAGAAATAATTAACAATGAAAATAAATTCCTAAAACTATAATGGTGATGAAAAGATTAACTCAAGAAAAGGATTCAACTGTTATTTCCACTTCAGTTGCTAACTTATTATATTAAACTAACAATGATGACAAATGATGGTCGGATCTCCTAGTTGTATCCTTAAGCTCCTTCCGAAGTCATAAGGGTATCCCTACAATTAATCACAAGCCTATATTCCTATGGTTATATTTAATTATAGAGTCATTAAATCTGGGTATCTCATATGGTCAATCATGCCTTATCGGTATATTCCTATCTGGTAAGAAACCCTAAACTTTTACGTTTAAGTCATGACCTATTTCAACAGACCTAAATTTAACATCTTATTCCTAAGTATGCAAGATTCACAAACACAAGCAAATATGTGATCAAAATAATTGCAGAAAAATTATAATAGAAAAAATAGCCATTAAAATCACCAACGAAATAAAATAAATCATTAAACAACATCCATGTACTCTAACAGTCGAAAACTAAATTACTCAGACATAATTAAATTAAAACAAACAAATAACGGGTTGTAGGAGCAGCAAGGGGCTGCCGCCCCTTCTCCTTTGTTGTGCGCAGCCGAAGGGCACACGAACTGGAACTCCACGTTGCTGCGATGCTGCTCACGGCTGAACTCCACTCTGCCGAACTCCTTTCTTCTTTTCTCACGTTTTTGGCTTTAGAGGATTAGGGCTGCCAAAACTAGTGACAAAAATTGGGATTTTTACTTCCATGCGGGCCCACGCAAGTTTGGACAAAAACTTGCCCAACTTCACTCTTTTCTTCTCGGCCAAACTTGGAGTTAAGTGCTGGAATTGCACTTTTGGTTCTTCAACCCTTTAGCTTCTCCAATTTCTTCCTCTTCAATCTTCACTTCTTCGCTTGAGTCCTCAACCTTTAATTTCTTCAACCCTTTAGCTTCTCCAATTTCTTCCTCTTCAATCTTCACTTCTTCACTTGAGTCCTCAACCTTTAATTTCTTCTTCAATTTAATCCAATTTTTGTCTTATTTGACTCCAATCATCATCAATCTCCTAAATCCTGCAAATAAAGATTTATTAAGTAAAATTATCTTTAAAGAATATTAAAACAACAGAAAATCTTAAAGGAAAGACTATAATAATATATGTAAATATTTGACTCATCAGTACTTGACTCGTTTATTTGGTATTTGCCTGTTTCTTTTTGGAATTTTGAAGATCGATGAAAGTTAGAGTAAACCGAGAATTTTCTTATGGCTTTAATTTTTGGTTTGGCGGTATATTTCGTGCAGAAATCAATAGTGAGTTCATCTTTATTTTTTTTTCTTTTTTTGTTTAGGTTTAAAGTTCATAAGAATACATGCAATTTGCTGTTCAAACCACTGGTGTCCGTCATTTCTCCGTCTTCACGCCGACAAAGAAAAAACGATGGTGGTGGCTTCAATTGTTCTGAACTCACCTTGTAACAGTGGTCTGAACCAGACGACGTCGTTGCACTTGTGGAGTCCAAAGCCGTCTTCATCAGTTCAACAAAATTGGAGATAAGCTTTTTTGTTCGGTTTAAACGGTCCCCGAACCAATCCCCCGACTGTTTAATCGGTTGGTTCGGTTCGAGAGAGGTGAAATATCGGTTTGATTTCGGACAGGTGAAGGAAAATGAAAAAAACCAAATTATCGAAACTGAATTCACCCGAACCGACCAAATTAGCAGCCCTATTAGTTCCTCACTTAACTAACCAATGATCCAAATCCTAAAACTATCATATCGTTGGATTAGTCTCATTCTCTAGGCGGGTAATGTTTAACTCATAATTAAAAATTTATTATTGGTCAACTAACTTCTCAATCAATAATGAGTACAAGTTGATGGAGTTGGAAATAAATAAACTCCGCACCTTCACTAACACTAACAACGATGAACAAACAAACTCATAAAGGCGTTGTTAACTGCTTCTTAACTTATTCAAGTTTCTTTATCACGCCTTTAACTGAAACCTCTACTTTTCTTCTATAATCATCAAAACTGTCCATTTCTTCCTTGGCCTCTTTGTACCTCTGGAATCTGCTGGCAAGAATTATTCTCAATTTACAATATCACCCTCAATCACAATAACCAGTGAAATGCCCACCGTCTGGGTAATACCGTCTTTCTGTGGGGTATTGGCAATGGAGATGTCGGTAGTAGAACCGAAAGCGCGAACAAAACCCTGTGACTTTGTACTGAAAGCGTGATAAACCACAAAGAGGGGAAAAGAAAAAAGAAAAAAAACACACAATCCAACAGTGAAAGCAAGCAAGCGAATCCTTTAATAAATGGAAGAATTTAATTCAACTCCTAGTCTTTCCTTCTTCTTCTTGTCTTTCCTCCTTATACTGTCAAAAATGGCAATGCATAAATGGATTCTTCTGGGATTCTGCATTTTCTTCGTCTCAGCTGGAGCTACTACTCTTCAAGTGCAGGGTAAATTTTCCTCCTTTATTATATCTATTTGGGGTTTTCTTTATTGGGTTTTGTACTGATTCCTGCTGAGCAGTTTTAGATTTGATTGAAATGTAGAACTGTTCGTTAATGCGTAAGTTAATGTGTTTGATCATGCTTTGTTTCGTGGATCTGGAAGTCTGGTTTAGTTGCTTTTGTCAGAAATTATACTTGGATTTGGATTCTGTGGTGATCTTTTCAAGATTAGTTCTTTTCTCTCTTTTTTTTTTGTTTTCTTTTTCCAGTTTTGGTGGAAAAATAAAACGAAGGGCGGTTTTTGGTTTCTTAGGTCATTTTTGTTTTTATGGTCTTATTGAAGAGTTCTTAGCTCCATGCTTCCAGATAAAAGTCCAATCTTGATTGAGGTATTGTATGTTATAGCTTCTTCAAATGTTAGATGTTATATGAAATAATCTCTTAAATTGATTTAATTCAGTGGCTTGGCTGCTTATATTGTATGCTCTAGATCATGATGTTTTGGCCTTTTTTCTTTTTTTCTTTTTCACTCTGAATCGGAAAAAAAGAAAAAAGAAAGAAGAAAGTGAACTGCATTGTGTGTCATTGTAATGATACTATTTTATATGAGAATGAGGATGGAAGTCCTTCGTTCTACGATAAAAACAACTATGGTTTTTGAGTAGTACATGATGTGTTTCTCGATGCACTTTATAATGCTAAATATAACTATACTTAATATGAATGGACATCCTTGTAGAAAGCACCATTCTCAAAAAGGATTCGAATTACATTTTGAAATTGATGTTTCCTAGTCTAATCAGTAATGTCACTATCTAACATGGCCAACAAGTCTTGTAGTAGTTAGTACAAATTTTTGCTTTTGACATCTTTGAAATAGGATGATGATTTGGAGAGAATCCGTGGCAGCATACCTGTCGATTATTGTTATTAAGACTGATTAGAAGTAAGGCCAGAAGTTTTGTGCAAGCTGTTGATTGTTTGTTTCTGGTGTCCCGTCTCTGGTACATTTTAGCTAAAAGAACCATTTTTCATCAAGGCACTTTTTTGCCGCATTTGTCAGTGTTAAATTTCACAATTCAATCACCATTCGCAAGTCCGGTTCCTCCATTATCTAGACATGCACTCTAGTTTTCGGCATACATTGTGCTTTGCATACTAATATATCAAGGAATATGGGACAAACAGAAACAAAAAAGAATGTCTAAGTAATAGTTTTTGTTCCTGATAGGAAAAGCAGGAAAAATTACCAACAACCCTGCTGATCAGTTAGTAGCTACTCTGACTGGCAACAGAACCGCGCATGGATCATCCAATCTGTACAGCAACCCAGGATTGGCATGTTTAGCTTTGCAATACATAAAAGCATATCAAGGTGATTGTGGTGCAGTTGGGGGGCCAAATGCTAAAAAGCCTGCCGATAGCGAATTTGCTGAGACTTTTGCACCAAACTGTGGTGTGGAGACTAAAACTCTCACCCCAATAACTGGCCGTCTATTGGGATGTGAGACCAAGTATGTATCACCTTCCGAGGCATTCTCGAGTATCTTAATACATGACAGTAGGAGCTTGGATATACTGTACAGTAAAAATCACACAGAGGTCGGTGCTGCTGTTAGTGGTTCAGATGGTGGTTCACCTTATTTTTGGTGTGTGCTTTTCAGCAACGGCACATCAAAAAACAGCTTTGTCTTGGAAGGAGGTGAAGCTAAGATAAGTAGACCTGGATGTTTTAGTGGTGCAAATGATGATTGCAGTGATGCTAATCATAATGCACTTTCCCTCCAAATCCCTTTACTCTGGTCAATTGCTGTTGGAGTTATGGCGGTTCTGCTTTCCAGCTTATGAGTTTTTTTTCCTTCACCATTTGCATGGAAATGTTTAGACGAGAACCTGTGATTTGGCGAGGTTGAGATATCATTGGTACAGCGGACACCCACATAGTGGGATAAATGCTCAGTTGTCCTTTTTCATGACTCATTTAGTGGCCTCATTTGTTGTTTCATTTTTTCTTTTTTCTTTTTGTTTTCCATTCAATCAGTAGTCATTTAGGCATACATGTACCAAGTTCCAGGTTTTGATTGATTCATTCAATTTTTAGGAATGGTCCGATGTTATTTTTCCTTCTGTTACTACAGTGAAATGTTATCATAAGGTCAGATATATTGGGGGTTCAACTACACATGTTCGTTGCAGTTTCCAAATTCAGATTTAGTTTGATTTTAGCATAAACCTGTTACAATAAACATTACACTATCAATAAAATTCATTCAAGATATCTTAACCTGTGAGGAAGAAAATAAATAAATAAATAAAAGAAAAAAGAAAGAAGATTCAAAGTAACCTGACTTACGTCAAAAGAGAAAAATAAAGGGGTATCTTCCTTCTCGATTCTTATATGCAGGAAATAACAATCAAATTTGGGTTCTCATTGTGTCCTCTTGCTAATCATTCTGCTTCAATGGAAGCTGACAAACCCTAATGTATCTATTCATTCCATTAGGCTACAAAAGAATTTCTGACTGGAATAGTAGCTAAGCTATAACTGCCTAAGAATCATTAGGATTTGAGCTTCTAAGTATTGGTGTCAATTTCAAACCAATAATCTGCAGCTGAGGATTTGCGTGACTAGTTGAAAATTCACTAACAATCTGCAAAAGCATCACAAAAACAATGTTATGTTCTGAATACCCCAGATGAAGATCTTGACAGAGGTTCGTATGCAAGGAAAATGTGCATATTTAAGGTCACTATAGATAAAAAAACACAAGAACGTTGAAAAGGAGCCAAGTGAACAAATAATCTGAATCATCCAAGCATCCCATGGCCTAACAGCGAAACCTTTTCAACTTCGAACAGCAAAACCTAATGTTCCTGGTGGTTGCAGTATATCGATGATTCTTGTGACCTAAATCTAAGTTGGCATGCGTAACAATTACACTAGTACAAATCAAGCTACCAATTAAACCAGAAAATTAATCTTTCTTGATGTAGAAACATGTTTAACGGGCAGATTTTTATTCCTGGGTGTCATGATTTAACTTCCACTGAGAAATGGTCAGATTTCGAACTTCAGTTTTTCATCCAATTCCAAATATGACCACTTCTTGTTACTGTGCCAACCATGAAATTACAAAACCCACCAAAGTACATGTCAGCACATAATTGTAAGGCACTGATGAAATGTGACTGAACAGAAGTCAGGGTGGAAATACCTGGGAGCAACCAAAGAGTTTAATCAGCTTCAGCGATGAACAACTATCAACTATCACCCCAAGTGCCTCAGTCGTTATCTTGCGACACCACGATAAATCCAATTGCGACAAGTTTGTACAACATTTGGCTAGTGAAAAGGCAGTGCAGGGACCAACCTGCCAATCATCAAGCCCAAGTTGATTCAACAGTAATAAAATACATCAAGAATCAATGTAAACGAGACAAAACAATGGCAGACTCTAGAAAAGAATCTGTTTTTCTCAGTACAGATTCTTGGGTAGTAATGTCACGGCTATATACTAATTTCCAATTCACATTACATTGGAGCACGCCTAAAAGTTGACAAGCACATTCTTACATCTCACTTTCGAGGCTTTATTGCATAAGGGCTTATTTGTAACAATTTTGTTAAAAAAGCAAATACAAAATGTGTTGGAAAATGTGTGTTCCATGTTACCATACCATATGGTTTTGAATACTAAATTGGATAGGCATTTCAGCGATTGCCTTATTCATCTTTTTGTGATAAAGTCTCTGAAATGAAAAAGGAAACTATAGACCATTAACACCATCAAATGAAGCAGACTTTACAGAAGAACATAAAGAGAAACCCTTGAACATGATTATCCATGTATACTATAAGAGTTCATAAAATATCCAAAGATATTTTCAACATCTTGATAACCAAAATTTGTTTAGCAAAAAGTAGATTGTATCCTGAAACAAATAATTGATGACCAAGGAACAATTAACTAAATGCCGTCGATCTTGCACTATCTGACATTTGAATTTGTTAGTGTTTCTCATCAAGATACTAGGTGACCAGATCAACTTTATCCCAACTGTGCAGCTAATTGCAAATGACCACAATTACGATGTATAGATGTTTGACAGTTTTACGCACATAGTTTTGATCATAGTATATTCTTACCGAAGTAACACTGTTGAGGGAAAGTTCCTGCAAAGACTTTCCAGAAGCTTCCAAGTAAGCAGCGATTGCCTCGTCACTACATCGCAAGAATAAACCTGTCAATATCTTAACATAGGAAGGAAAAGGAAGGAAGAATGCATGGAGATTAGCCTAAGACAGGTCCATCTATCTCCTTGTTTGGACGGCGAGGACAGGGAAATAGAGGGCCGGTAAACAATATGCACAAATAAATAAAATAAAAAGTACTGTTCATTATTATCTGTCACATAGCACTCAGAAAAATATACAATAAAGCTCCCAAAGCTAATACCATCAAAATCACCCAAAGCAGCATGATCAAAATCCTTACACAAACAGATAGGATGACAACTCATGCTGAATATTTTTAAGAAATACAGGAATTAACAGGTAAAAATGACCATTGGATTCTTTTAGCCACAAAATTGAACATAGTTATCAACATCACTTACAATTTAACAGAGGTTCACTTAGAATGTACAAATGATAAACCACAGAGCATCAAAATGCTTGAAGGAATCGGACAAAAACCTGAAATTACTACGGCATAGTTTGAGCATTTGTAGTTGTCTGCAACCATCAGCAAGATATTGTAATCCATCATTTGTCAGTATATCCAGGTTTGAAATATTTAATGAGCGTAAACTGGTGCAGGCATTTGCAATGATCCGCAGAGACACATCTGTCAAAGCCCTGCATGTGGAGGCTAAATACATAAATACAGCAACAACACCCAGTGTATTCCCAACTTGGTTCAAATTGTATTCAAAAGAAGTTCAAATTCAACCTTAATCAACAAACAGAACCAATTTAAAGCAACTTACGAGCAACCAGCAAGATCAAGCTCCTTAATGTTTTCTGTATACATAGTCATAACGCGATCAAGAAAATCATCAGAAACATATGGTGATTCTGCAACTGATAACACTTCCAAATTACTGAACTCCTTAAACGCGGTGGTAAGTGTTGGATTCATTTTCTGGCAGCCATCAATGTAGAGCTCTCTCAACATTGATCCTAAAGTGTCGGCCAGAGCATCGATTGCATCATGGGTTAGAAGGGAGCATTTACTCAAATTAATGGACTTCAGTAGAGGTGTCAATGTTACAATAGCTTTTAGTCCATCATCAGATAAACGAGCTGCACCCTTTAGGGATAATACTTGAAGTTTAGGCAAGCTATTGGAAGACCAGAGTAAAGATTCTCTTATTACATGATTATCAAGTGTACATTGCCCACATAGTTCTAGTTGAAGAACCTGAAGAGAGAGAGAGAGTAAAAGGTTTCAGTTCTCAGGAAAGAAATCTGGGAATACTGATACTACACAAGTATCATTCCACAACTACAATAATCAAACAGCATCCCACCATGTGAGATTAGCTGTATGGGATCATATGTTCCATGCACTCACTGTCAATTCTTTGTAAGACTAGGTAAGTATGAAGAAGAGTAAATGGCATCATGGACTAGTTTAAAACCATTCAAACAAGTAGGACATGTTTTCTGAGATTAACCAGAAAAACTTGGGCTGAGACCAAAACACCAAAGTAGAGGCAAAAACACCAAAATAAGAAATCACTCACAGAGCCAAACAAAAAGAAAAAAGAAGAAAGAAAAGGGAAAAAAAGAAAAAAGAAAAGAAAGTACAACAGCTGAAAAAAGCCAGAATTGAGAACTGAGATACAGCACTATGATCGAACAAGCTAACATGAACAATACAAATAACGTATAGAGTAATGTACTTATCCTTGATAAATGTAACTACAAATTTTAGAAACTTACCATTATATAGCACGTTAAAAAGGGGGCACTAACATGAAGATGTACAACGAGGGATTTCACAGGGAAAAAACATTCTAAACAGCAAAATCAGTACAAACCAACTCAAAATGGCACTGTAATGACAAATTGAAAGAGCCTGAACCTAAACATACACCGTCAAACGTACACTCAAAAACAAAACAATTAACAGAAAGGAAATGAACACTCACTGTCAAATTACTTGCGTCAAAGTTTCTAAATGTTGCAATCAGTTGTTCTTGTGTTAGCCATGAAGAGTCTTTTATGCATATCTCTGTCGGAGATCCACTAACAAAAAGTTCAAAAGTGCGTATATTCATTCCTCTGCGGTTGCACAGTACATTGGCAAGTTTTTTCCTCAAAGAATCAGGAATAAGTTCAAGTGAAACTATCGCCTCAGCATTTTCTGCCAGAACTTTCACCGAAAGATCCACCAGTGAAGGTAAAGGGGATCTTAGCAGATCACACCCCTTGCCAGAGGGTTTCCATTCGATAAGTTGTTTATTTTTTTGAAGCATTCGTTCCCTAATACTCTTCAGTGCATCAGAAAATGGACCAGGACGCTTTCCTAATTGACTATCATTTTCCACTGGTGATGCCTTTTCCTGGCTAGAAGAAGCCATCACAGAAAACTCCGCCTGAGCAAATCTTCGAGCCCTTTCTCGCCACTCAAGTCGGCTAGCTCTCCCCCTTGCATATCTAGCCTGCTCGGCCTGTCTCATAATTGGGTTTGCATTCCAGTGCTGTGCAGGTAGCAACTCAAACTGAAATGATTCCTTTGGAATTTCTTCTGATGACTCTAAATCAATGGAATAATGGTTTTCTAGTATTGGATTATTCGACTGATAAATTACTTCTTGGTTTCCTCCGTGCAGCTCAAACTCAATTGGACTAATACTTTCATTAGTTAGTGACAACCAAGAATCATCTACAATTTTAGCTTGTCCTTTCTCTTTCCGCGAGCTCTTTCCACCGAAATCTCCCTCCACTAGTCTCAATCCAATATGATCAAATTCTTCTACAACATCCCCTTTCAGCTTTTCATCCTCACTTTCATCAGAAGATGGAATGTCAATAACTTCAATAGTTCTGTCAGCATCCACAGGCAATGGCTCATCATCATCATCCCCAGACTCAATAACAGTCACATTAAGATCAAAATCGATTCCTTTACAGAAAGAAACTTTCTTTGAACTTGAATTGATCTCTTCCTCATATCCTGTATCCCCCTTCTCGCCAGACTTTTCAAGAACCTTAAATTCATCATAATTATTACCCAACATCTTGAGTTTCTTACCCTCAGAACCATCCCCTTCATTGTCCTCACAGACCCTTCTCTTCTTATTCAAATTGATGGCATCATCAGAGTCTTCATCCTCACTTGAAGATCCCATTCCAGCCCAAAACCCTCAAAAACTCTGCGACAAACAAAACCGAAAACCCGCCAAAACCCAAATTACTGAACAGCCAACAAAAGTTCACGAATTAATAAACGGCTTCCTACCGGTGATCAAAACATCAACAAGGAAATTCAGGCATCAACATGCTCAAACCCAAAAAAAAAAAGAAAAAAGAAAGATTATTCCTTTCAAAGAACAGAGCTTTCACCAAGAAAATTAATACACACAAAACAACCGATAAAAGCGAGTAAAAGGGCTAGTCAGGTCATGCAAAAAAGATTACAAAAAAATTGGATTGCCAAACCTGTATGTTCGGAAAAGATAAACAAAAAAAGTTGGTACCTTCAGTCCTTTAAAAAGATTTATGACTCCTATGCTTTTCTTTTGTTTTTGCATGACCACTTACTTACCAAATTGTCACTAAGAGCCCTTTTTCCTTTTTCTTTTCTTAATTTGTGAGAACAGCAGGAAAAAGGAAATCATAAGAGAAGAATGGTTTGATTGCAGAAAGAAGGAAGGTTTTTAAGTATTTACCAAAAAGCAAGATTCAAACAGGTATGAATTTTTTGTGGGTGGGCTGTTGTTGGAGTAGGAACTAGGAAGCTTCTATTCAGCTTCCTTTCTTTTCTTAGGGAGGACCGGACCCCAAAGACTACATTTATACCTTTGCTTGTTGGCACACCGAAGAGGGTGTTTATTTTCAAATTCACCACCTTTACTACTTGAAGCCACATATTTTAAAATTAAACTATTTTATCCTTATATTTTTTTCAAATCAAATAATTTGACTAGAAAAAAAATTAAAAAAATTGAAAATTAAAAAAAAAATTGACCAACCGGGCGTTCCACCCGTCCCGAGTTAACCGGGGACGAGCAAGGAACGCGTCCTCTTGTTCGCCCGAACGTGTTCCCGGGACGCGTAATGAACGTGTTCGGGCGAACAAGAGGACGCGTTCCTTGTCCGTCCCCGGTTAACCTGGGACGAGTGGATTGCTTGGCCGGTCTCGGTTCGGTCCAATATGGTGAATCGGACCGGTCAGGCCATTTTTTTAATTTTTTAATTTTTCATTTTATTTTTTAATTAAAAAATAGTAATATTTGTTATTTAAAAAAGTCTAAAAATTATAAAATATCAATTGGATTTATTGTTATTTTTTTAATTTTTAAATTTTTTGTTGTAATTAGTTAATCTAGTTTTTAGGTCATTAAATTTATTAATAATTTATTATTTGAGTTACATTAAGTATCACCAATCTTTGTAGTACAAAAAATAGTTAATCTATTTGCACATATTTGTCACAATCTTTGTAGTACAATTATTATTTTTCATTATAAATGTATAATTATTATTTTAACTAAAAATTATCTTTGAAATAATAATTAAAGCAAAATTTATATTTTAATATCAATTTAAATAAATTAACTTAACAAATAATCTTAAATTTGTTTTCAAGTAAAAATTAATTACTTTTTTATTTTCAAGTAAATATAAAATCGAGAGTTTAAGCACTAAAGTATAAATATTGTTAATAATATTTAAAGTTCGAGGTATTCAACATGTAACGATACTGCGAATAAACTAACATTAAAATAAAAATTAATAATTTGTCCGTTCTCACGTGAATCGGACCGAATAACTTGCCCGGTTTGGTCCGAGTGACAGGGGCAAAAGGGAAATTTTTCAAAATGGGAGGCTTCAAGTACTAATTTGGGTGGCTGGAAAAATCTAACCCCCACCGAAAATACTACCTCTATTTTTTTATCTGTTGCTTTAGTGTTTGCACAAGTACTATTAAAAAAACGATGATTGATAATTTAATTTTTAAGTGTAATATCTTTCTTGTCCCTAATTAAAAGTATTGGGATCCTACAAAATTTGAAATTGGAGTAAAAGAATATGTAGTTGTCATTAATATATTTTCTCAATTTCAATTTGTAGGTCTGATATGCTTATATTTTACCTATTTATTATATCCCTAATTTGTGTTTTTTGTAATATATTTTGAGTACAAATATGCTATTTATATAATTTTATCTTTATTTGTAGGATTTGTACTCAAATGGAAGAATTGTTGACATTTTGGACTAAATTAAAAAGAAAAAGCAACTCAAAGGGAGAATTGAAGATTTGTTAAATTGACAAGGAAGAAATTGAAGCACTTGAAGAGTTGGAGGAGTTTTAATTTAAATTGGTTTGAAAAAAATAATAACTTTCTTATTCCTGAAGAAATAGGGTTTGACAAAAACCTATAAAAGGAGGATTAGGGTTTTATTTTTGGGAGACTTAACCTTAAATCACCAAACTCCTCCTCCACCCAGTCACCACAAAACCTATGCCCAAAACCCTTCATTGCCGCAACCCCTCCCCCCCCCAACTCCGCCAACCTCCATCACTATTACACCTCCTTATCACCAGCCCCTACGCCCAAAAACTCCACGCCCCACACAACCTTACAACACACAACTCCACGCAACTCACCTTTAATCCACCAAAACCTAAAACCCACTTTCCATGCACCACCAGTTCACCCAAAAACCTTCCTCCAACTCCAAAATTCCACGCAACCTTTCTCCGCGCGCCATCATCGCCAAGAGGAAGGAGAAGCATCGAATCAATTATTCCTCGACTCAACTTGCGACTTCTCTTTCCCGGGTTTCATTGTTTTATTTATTTTTGAGATGATGTGTAGCTAAATTATTTAATCTAGGGTTTTGAATATAGCCATCGTACTATTTAATTTAATTTAATTCATGATTGTGACTTTTTCATTAGTTGATATTTAATATTCTTTTTTTTATTCCATGTGAGTATTTGAGCACCACTTGTATGCTTTAAAGGTGTTTAATTGAAGGAACAACGGTTGAAGATTAGCACTAGTTCGTCGGAATATTAAACTTAGATAGTGGGCTACGAAAGTAGGAACACCGTCTTTGCAGCTATAGATTCTAGGGTTCTTAATGTACTCTAATTAAATCCTATAGTCACGACAGTAGTCATAGGGTTAGTTTTAGTAAGAGAATTATATCACGACAGTGAATAGTTCTTAAATAGGTGAATCGTTGTGAGATTAATGAAAGTCCAAAATCACAGAACTATAGATTAAGTTAAACTGAATAGTCGGTTGGTGAACCCTTTGCCCTAGGTTTTTCTTTTACTTATTTATATCTTTAAATAATTGTAATCGTTAGTTTTAGGTTTAGATTAGTTTAAATTGATAAGTTGTTAATCTAAATAATAATAAGAAATAATTTTAACCGGTACTTGGTAACCTTCTCTGTGGGATCGACCCTGCTTTCTGCTTTACTACTAGTAATTGTAATAAGTAGGTAATTAATATTTGACTAGTGTGACGACGGCTTGTCAAATTTGACAAGCCATTGCCGGGGAGTCCTCAGGCCCGGTGAGGAAAAATATATATGTAGACTGCCCTAAGTTGCTGAGCCACTATGTATAGGAGTGGAAAAATGCTCTGGGTAGTGGCCTGAGTTGGAAAGAGTCCTGAAGAAAAGCCGCATGGACCGAAGAATAGGTTACGAGGGGGAATAGGTTGTCTATGAGATAAGTCCTTCTACTTCATAGTATGTTTGGAGGTCCACTGCATTGAAATATAGTGTGAAATGTGAATCTGTGTTAAAGTGTTAATATATGGCATATTTGCAGTAGAGCTCGTGTTTTCTATGTTGAACGTAAAGTGATGTCCCTAAGAAACGAATCACACACACACAAGCGTGGGGGCTAAAAGTACATATGATTTGCATTTTGTTAGGTAGTGCATATTAGAGGTAGTCGAGATCTTTGTGTTATATGATGATTGAATCTCTGGGCCGCTTAATTAAATAATTTAATGTTTTTGTTTGTTTTAATTCTCGGGCATGCTTGAGGACAAGCAATAATTCAAGTTTGGGGATATTTGATATACTTATATTTTACTTATTTATTATATCCCTAATTTGTGATTTTTGTAATATATTTTGAGTACAAATATGCTATTTATATAATTTTATCTTTATTTGTAGGTTTTATACTCAAATGGAAGAATTGTTGAGATTTTGGACTAAATTAAAAAGAAAAAGCAACTCAAAGGGAGAATTGAAGATTTGTTAAATTGACAAGGAAGAAATTGAAGCACTTGAAGAGTTGGAGGAGTTTTAATTTAAATTGGTTTGAAAAAAATAATAATTTTCTTATTCCTGAAAAAATAGGGTTTAACAAAAGCCTATAAAAGGAGGATTAGGGTTTTATTTTTGGGAGACTTAACCTTAAATCACCAAACTCCTCCTCCACCCAGTCACCACAAAACCTATGCCCAAAACCCTTCATTGCCGCAACCCCTCCCCCCCCCAACTCCGCCAACCTCCATCACTATTACACCTCCTTATCACCAGCCCCTACGCCCAAAAACTCCACGCCCCACACAACCTTACAACACACAACTCCACGCAACCCACCTTTAATCCACCAAAACCTAAAACCCACTTTCCACGCACCACCAGTTCACCCAAAAACCTTCCTCCAACTCCAAAATTCCACGCAACCTTTCTCCACGCGCCATCATCGCCAAGAGGAAGGAGAAGCATCGAATCAATTATTCCTCGACTCAACTTGCGACTTCTCTTTCCCGGGTTTCATTGTTTTATTTATTTTTGAGATGATGTGTAGCTAAATTATTTAATCTAGGGTTTTGGATGTAGCCGTCGTATTATTTAATTTAATTTAATTCATGATTGTGACTTTTTTATTAGTTGATATTTAATATTGTTGTTTTTATTTCATGTGAGTATTTGATCATCACTTGCATGCTTTAAAGGTGTTTAACTGAAGGAACGACGGTGAAAGGTTAGCACTAGTTCGTGGGAATATTAAACTTAGATAGTGGGCCACGAAAGTAGGAACACCGTCTTTGCAGCTATAGATTCTAGGGTTCTTAATGTACTCTAATTAAATCCTATAGTCACGACAGTAGTCATAGGGTTAGTTTGAGTAAGAGAATTATATCACGACAGTGAATAGTTCTTAAATAGGTGAATCGTTGTGAGATTAATGAAAGTCCAAAATCACATAACTATAGATTAAGTTAAACTGAATAGTCGGTTGGTGAACCCTTTGCCCTAGGTTTTTTTTTACTTATTTATATCTTTTAAATAATTGTAATCGTTAGTTTTAGGTTTAGATTAGTTTAAATTGATAAGTTGTTAATCTAAATAATAATAAGAAATAATTTTAACCGGTACTTGGTAACCTTCTCTGTGGAATTGACCCTGCTTTCTGTTTCACTACTAGTAACTGTATTAAGTAGGTAATTAATATTTGACTAGTGTGACGATGGATTGTCAAGGTCATTTTAAGTTTGGAGAGATTTTTCAAAATGTAGGCCGTTTTACAAATTTTAGGCAAATTAATGACTATTTTTTCAATTTTATCTCAATAAATGATGCCAATCTATTTTCATTTAGTCTTGTTTATAGTTTCAATGTAAGTAATAAGGGGTAAAACAGATATTTAATATATAAATTAATTGTTAGATGATTGTCTTTTTAGTTTATGTTCAAAGTCTAAAATAACTTGCATTTTGAAATTGATGGAGTACGTTATTAAAAGTAGAGAGAGATGAGGGTAAAATTAAAAAATTGCATTTAATGCTGCATTGAAA